TAACACTATTCTTGACAACAAAAGACAATTCGTATGGTATTTTTTATTTATTTCGTACACAATAGTGATTAGCTACAACTGCAGCCACAGCTGCCGGGGGCAGACTGACAGAAGAAAAAGCAACCAGTGTGTGCCATCATGCCCCTCTGACCCCCATCAACCATCTACACCCAAACCATAATCAAATGACCTCATTTGAGTGTGGGTGAAGTGTCTTACCTAAGGACACAACAACATTTTGGCACTTTACAGTTTCAGCCTAGTGTTCCCAGAGGTCTTACATCACAGTCTAAATAGGCCCTGGATCAGGATTTCACGTGCACGTGGTGCCGCAATAGGTGTCCAGTCTCCAGAGATGCAACCCAGCTTTGTTTTACAGAGCAATAAAAACTATAAAACATATTTCTTTGAAATGCTTCAGAATTCTTTCTTATTCACTCCATACGATTTTAATGAAAAAAAAATACATGTGGATAAATGTGCAAGGGTCTGGGATAACTGTAAAAGGCATCAGTGGGGCGATACGGGAGGATGAAGAACGGAGAAGGTTGGCTGCATGTTCAGAGTCACTGACACATCAAAAGCTCCTCAAACCCAGATTACAACAGCCTCAGGCAGGGAAGGGGGGTTGTGGATTAATGCAAGCTCCGTACAAGAGAAAACAAGTAGATTAGCTGCAGCGTGGTTGATCTGAAATAATCTCAGCACAAACTGATGGGCACAGACAAGCAAGAAGGAGGAGGACTAGCGGGGTGCATATAGGCAAGGCAAGGCAAGGCAAGTTTATTTATATAGCACAATTCATACACAAGGCAATTCAAAGTGCTGAACAAAACAAGAAAGCATTAAAATCATAAATTATCACAGAACATTAAAAAGAAAGATAAAAATATAAAATCCCTCAGTTGTATGCACAGTTAAACAGAACCGTCTTTAACCTGGTTTTAAACATTGTCAGAGAGGAGGCCTGTCTCACATCTTCAGGAAGACTGTTCCAGATTTTAGCAGCATTAATCTGAAAAGCAGCCTCCCCATGTTTAGTTCTGACTCTGGGCACTAACAGGAGTCCAGTCCCTGTGCTCCTCAGAGTCCGGGCTGGTTCTATCTTTGGTTTATCTTTTTTCTATATAAAATACATGTTTTGTAAAAAAATTCTTATTTTGGGGAAAAAAATTGTTTGATTTATTTATATTTTTAAATAGTCAGAAACCCACACATTGCATTCAGAAGTGTGAGGCTGAAACATTTTTCAACAATAATTCTTAATAAATAAAAAATTGTCTTCCACAAACAACTGCACTGGGAGGAAAAACACCCTCAACAGCCTGCATGCCTTCATCCTGTACTCAAGGAATCATGTGCTCCTAATACAATGTGCATGAGTGTTGTTGATCTGAAATCTTCTCAAATCCAATAAAATACCATATGAATTGTATAATATGCATCGGCAAAGACATCCAGCCCAAAGAGGCACTAACTACAATTTTTGATTTCATAGAAATGTGAGTTTTTGAGATGAGTGTAGGAATACCTAAAGATGTGGACGGAGTGTCTATGTGCTGACTGTCCGCGCAGCCCCAAACATGTGCAGCCAATCAGTTCCAGTCTCACCCTCATCCCCACAAAGGGCCTTTGATGTGAGCATTCTGCTGCAGGGAGTCACAAGGCCTCAGCAGCTTTGATGTGAGTCAGGAGGACTGTATGCTGTATGATGGGACAAATCTATGACAAACGCAGATGGGATGAAAAGCAAATAGAGCTGAACCAAGTTCTGCTTGCACAAATGTGATTAGCAGAGTCTTGGTTGTGTATAGATGAGCACTGATTGTGATGCACTTAAGCAGACATACATTTGGACTGCAGTGCTGCTTATTGTCACAGAAGTTCTAATATAAATATACGAACATTTATGCCTCATATCCCATGGCCTCCATTTTCTGCATTCTCCTGTTATGTTGTCTCTGGAAACCTTCCAAAGACAGGAAAAATCCCATCTCTGGCTTTCTTCCTTTTTCCTCTTACTTTATAATCAGGGGAAAACAAAATGTCGGGTTAAAGAATTGCTCCAGCCGCCTCGTACCTCCTCCTCTCTCCTTTTCCCTCTCCCTTCAACTCAGTTATGTAAGAGCTGAGGTCAAAGTGTCAGCGCTGTTGTCATGGGAGACGAAGAACAGAGAGGCTCTATGGGTGAGACTAGAGGAGCGGGGCTGAATGTAAAGCAGATCAAAACTGGAGAATAAACTGAAAGTCTGAACTTGAACTCTGAGTGCTTTGTATGCTTCATATGTCATGTGCCTCATGTTTAGAATATAGTCTGTAAGTGTTATAAATTTGGTGTAACAGTCACGAAAACAATCATTTGGATAGAGAGAATAAGTGAATGCAAAGGCCATGTGAGAGGGAAAGGGAAAAGAGTCTGCACAGTGAAAACAAAGGATTGTAAGAGTCTATAAAAAGAGGGTAGCAGACGGAAAGAGAATGCCTGACTGTAGCCGCTGTGCGCTGCTGCTCCACTAACCTAGTTTGAGTAATCTCTGCCTCTGCGCTGTTTCGTAACACCGCCGCCAGAACATTGCATCATAAAGGAACCCTCTCCCCCCTTCATCCCCTTCTCATATACACCCACCTCTCACCATCTACCACAGTCACACACTTTCCCAAGAACACACCTTTATCCAAGTCACTGTGTTCAGAAAACAGCCTTACATCGTCAAATAATGTAAAAGTGTGTTAAGAAAAGGGAACAAAGGAAATTAAAGCAGCAAGCCATATCTAAAGGCCCTCACTGCATTTCCCAAAGGACGTGGCGCTGACGCACACATATAGTGGCTGTCATGAAGGAAAAACTACTGTTGTAAAATTGTAATGAATATGATCAGTGAGTATGAGCCTCCATTGAATAACATGGGAACTTTCACACATTACGAAAATAAACACAACAATCAAAATTCTGCATTCAACTTTTGAGACATTAAAAATAAAAATAAAATAGTTGTACATTTAAGAGACGTTTTGATTTTCTCATTAACACAGAATGGGGAGTGCCTGTCATTGCCATGGCAACAAGGTGAAAAATTAGTCATGGCTCTTGAGTTTTTGGAGCGGGATGCTAAAACAGATTTTGGTTCCAAATTTTGAAAACACTTTCTTTCTCCCAATGTAAAACTTTGGCTCACCTTGTAGGGGACACAAACGCTGAAAATGAAATCAGAAAGGGTTGGAAGTTTAACAACCACATTTGTGAAAACCTGACTTTGTACATACAAACGGAAGCACCTTTTAAATTGACCAAACACAATTCTGAGACTAACTACATTTTCACTCAGTCTATATGACATGAGTAAAAATGGCCCATTTTGTTTAATTTTTCCTTATTCAATAAAAAGATCTATAGACTTTTGGCTTGCCATAGCCTGGCAACGTCAAGAGTTTGCGCCGAATTGGCAGGTTGTAGTTTAGCAATGGCAAAGAATATGATAATAAAGTAATCCGTTCTGGTTCTATCAAGAAATTGAAGCCGGAGCAAGAGGAATGTTTAGCAAATGTAATTGCTGGCATAGAGTGTGGCGCAACTCCCCACAGGCTCCGTTAGTGGCAAAGGAGATGGCTAGGCTAAATGCCCCAAACGAAAACACGTGAAGTTGTAGTTTCAGTTTCCATTGTCACTGCTACAGTTAAATGCGGAATGATATTAGTGCATTCTTTCACATCTTTGCAGTGACCTGAGGAGGATGTTGTTGCGGAAGTGATTATACTACTTGGGGTCCCACGTGTCGTGTGATAACGTTCTACTGCCCACTACTGGTCGGGCGCAAGAACTACATCATTTCCGTCCTCGTGTAAACGCTGTGCACTTCGAATAAGGAGCCTGGTTGTTTTATGCTAATTTCTTCGCAACATCTCCACAGCGTCTCGGTCTAAACTGGGCCTTATATGTGTCAACTCAAGACACAGGCATCGCCCAGGCATTCCTTGTTGGGAAAGCAATAGGCCCCTACGCCCTTTTGGGGCTTTGACATAATGAGATCAGGCCTGCATGGTCAAGGAGAATAAATGTGGAAAGAAAAGTTGCCGAATACATTTGAACGCAGCTTGTTGTAATATACTGCCATGACTTTCCCTGTACTAAAATGGCCTGCAGCTTATTGAAATAGAAGTATTTATTATTGTAGGTTTGCTCAAGGAGAGGCTGGTTGTACCACACCGTCGTACAAATTACATTTCATACCATGCAGGGAAATGATAATTGACCAGAGTTTACGGAAGGCCAGGCTAGCTCAAGGATAATAGACTGAGAAATGTATGATGATAAGCTTTTTTTTTCCCAAAACCTGTGACATTTGTAAAGCGAGTTAATAATCATGTTGTACACTTCCTAGACAGTTTTCCCTGCAGGTGTTAAAACTGGTGACTAAACTGTGAGATGCATGTTACCAAAAAATGTTAAACTTTTGGATTTCATATCATTTAAATCTTCCCCAGAATTTGTGAGCAGTTGAACACTGTTCCAGACATAGATAGACTGTATGTTTCAATCCACCTTAAACTCGCCCCCGTGTGCGCGCTCCCGTGTGCGCTGCTGCCAGAGGAGCAGTCGGCAGTGAGATCATGTGAGACTCCATGCTTGGAGAAAGTAGGTTAGCAGGGTAGACTGACGAGAACAACGGGCGGAGAATCACGGCATTGAGGGGGACCTTCAATATCGTGGGACTATTCGGATTGAAGAAGAAAAACACTTCATCCAAATCCACTCGCCTCGGATCCAAGCGTTAAAATGCGGGCTTTTCTGGTTATTTTACATCGTTTGGACTTGACCGAACGATAAAGGGCACTGAGGGTAGTTGTTTCCCACCTGCTGTTTCCAGAACTGTAGCCAGGGTGAAGGAACTCCCAGGGCGTCTAGATACCGGGTTTGCACAGTGTGATTGTTGTCAGTGCGTACAATCGTCACCCATGTAGTTCCAGTCGTTGATAGGAGCAACAATCAAAGAAATACCACAATGCGAGGTGAGTTTGTGTTATTTGACCTGAATGTATGCGTGTTTACTTGTCGTTATCGTGTATTTCCATGTATTGTGGCATGTATGGTGCGTGCATGAGCGTGCATGAGCTTTCTCTTTGGTTGGATTGACCACATGTGGACGCACGGGGCTTTGAGTGCGTCTGTTTTCCTCCTGCGCGCATTAATCCCGCATGACTGGATTAGTGAGGCTTTGAGTTCCATGGGTTGTGTTTGACAATTATTGATATAGACATAAACCTGGACTTAAGTCATCAAAGAATAAGCCAGCAGCGAGTTTAAGGTATTCTTTACAGTTTGCTCAGTGGTGCAACATTGTGGTATGAAGAATACCAGTCTCCCAAATTGCTGAATGAATACACCAGATGATAGCTATTAGAGTCCCGCTTCACTACAATTTGCAAAGATCCAATCCATAGTGTTATGCAACATGAGGGGGAGGAGCAATATGAGGCTGTTGTTAACCAAAACATGAATTATGTAATGAAACATTTTGTGTTCACAAATATTAGGTTTCTATCTAAATTACCCAAAAGCCCTTTTTCGTGTCTCTGCCGATGATCTGTTTGCCCTGTTCAGAATAAATTAGAACATACATTCAGCGTTATTTGGGTTTAAAGTACGCATTGTTCTGAGAGGGAGAGTCTCAATTATGCAAAATGCATGTTGCATTGCTCAGCTAATGTAGTGTACTTCATTTATGAGTGTGTGGTGGTGTCGGTGTTGTGTGGTGGAGTTTGTGGCCGCATGGCCAACAGTGTGAGAGTAGAGCGGGAGAAAGGATCTGGCTGTTCCACTGACCTAGTTATGTCACCAAACATTATACAGCATTCGCAACGGCAGGAGGGAACAGAGGGAAGTGCCATGCCTAACATCGTGGCTGCCATGTGGGTAACGGTGGAACTATGCAGGAGAGAAAGGGTTAATAAGAAATGACAACTCCAATTCCTGGATTATTATTGAATTCACGTGCTGACTTTGAAAGGCAAAATGTCCAAGAGAGTTTGCAGAATGCTGTATGCTAAAATACAAAAGGAGTTCTTTACAAAATCTTCACCAGTCAGAGCAAGTGTCTGGTCAGATCATGGATCTATATAATAACGGGTCAGACAGGAGAAAAGGGACACATATTTGAGCCAACACTGAGGGGTCCAGTGGAGGAAGGGCAGGATATCCAAATGTAAACAGACTATGGTCTGGTCTGAGCTCACTGTCCCCAAATTAAGGTTATTGAATAAGGTATAATGATCACAATTTCTGCAAAGCGGAGATTGGAGATACATTTCACCGATTTTGGTTCATATTGGTTTAATTCAGTGTATTCGAGTCATTCGTATGGACTGGACACAGGGCCCAGCGGAGTGAATACATTACATTCTTTGTGTTAAAGTTGGTTTTATGGAGTCAGGCATCACAAGACAAGTTGTCGAGAAAAACCCCTGTAGAGGAGGCCGATGGATTTAGCCCTCTCCTAATCCCCCGTCTTGGGCCTCAACTGGCCTCTTCTGGTATTTGCATCTTTGGAAGTAAAGGCTCTTTGATTTGAATTCTGTGGCAGCTGGCCATCCAGGCTTCATGAGTCTTTGTAACATGATTCTTTTAAATACAGATATATTTAAAAGAATCATGTCAACTATTAACTCAAATTAAGATTGGAGATTTCATTTTAGAATCTATTTCAAAGGTTCCCAAGAGGCCAATATAACATTGTACGACCCTGGCATTTCTCTGACAATAAGAACTCATTATAATACCAACAATTGGTTAAGCAAATAAGAGCAACTAGTTCTTTCAACTTGTTTTACTTAGCAACATTATGTACTAAGGAGATGGTAAAATGATGCGAGGGCCAAAGATGTCCTCTCTTGACACACTCAGGCTCTTAAGACACTGTAGTCTCTAGTTACATATTGACAGCAACAGAAACAGGTTACAGAGAATAGGTTGTTGGTTGGGGATAGTTGGGTAGTGTTCTATCTCTAATGATACTCTAATGAATTCCAGGGCAGGAATAAACCAGAAAAACCTCAGTAATGGGTGTAGTTATTACCCTAATGAACCCTAACCCTAATGAATTGTTTATTAGTTTGAGAACAGGCTAATGTTATCATTAGAACATAATGTATTATCTTTGTTGGTGGAACTATGTAAAGCAGCTGAGGGAATGGTGTTAGTGTGCTTTTGGCAGCCGGGATGATTGCGTGTCCATGTAATTCGGGTTTGGAGCAGAGACCAGAATAGACTGGGCCAAAGAAGAGCTTCAGTGTCACTGCTTGGGTAGAGGGGCAACCGCAGAATAATTCACTTTCACTCCAGAAATTCCCTTCCGAGTGCAAAGGGGCCATTTGCCTAGGGAAATGTCTAAAATAATTATGCAATCCATTTATCCAAATAAACAGAAATATTTGGATAAATATACACAATATACAACACTTTTGAGCTCAGAAGTTTTTCTATTATTCATTCCAGTCCAACATTTAAATAGGTAATGTCAAGTCAACGTAAATACATCTCACATACGGTTGTCAAACTAGAGGATATTAAAATGAATCTATTACAGATGAAGACAAAATATATCATAATTTCTTTGAAATAGTACATCTCAAACTGTATAAAATCTTTAAAACCTGAATGTCAACAAAATGTGTTAATAATTTGTTATAATGCAACAACAAATTTCCTGATGCAGGACAGAAGCCTTTGGGGAAATGTTTCAGTGGTAGTCTGAGCACTTCCACCTTAAAACTGGTCTGCAGTGAGTCGGTATTGTGCCTAACTTCCTCCTCCCTCTCCCCCTGCAGTGGGAAAGTGTGTCAGTAGGACAGAATGTCCACATGGGCTGACAGGCTGTAGCAGCAGAGCGACAGATGACTCAGCCAATAGCAGAGAGCCTGAGCAGTGTACAGCCAATTGGAAGGCAGACATCTGGAGTGGGAAGAGACTTTGTGTTGCTAGAGTGAGCTTGCTGAATGAGTGTTGTGAGGAATGCTCGCAGACAAGAGTTATATAATCATGAGGTGCGGGAGGGGTAGAAGAACCTGAGAGAAAGACAGGAAGAGAAGGGAGGGAGCCATTTTTCCATTGCAGCTGCACTCATCAGTCAGAAGCTTGTAGTCAATGCATTTCTTGAAATCGATTACAGTTTTAAAAAGATGTAAAGTTATAAAGACAAACATTTCAATTCTTAACCACACAACCATCTTGAGCACCGTGATGAGTTTAAATGTACTCACACTTGTCAGTAGATGTTTTTCAAACAAAGAATACCTGCAGTATTAAGTCACATATTCTACATTCAATGATGTTGTGGCTTTGTTGTAGGTTAGTAGAGACTAGAGAGTATCTGTTTGTCACACAGCTGTCATGTGATTGTCTGTACATTGTGTACTCCTTATGGCAGTGTTCAACTTGTTCCTGAAAGGGCCGTGTGGCTGCAAGTTCTCATTCCAACCAAGCAAGAGAAAGAAAGATTTCACTAATTTTCCCCAAGTGAGTCCAGCCTTAACCTGAAGACTTCATGAAATGGACAGAGTTTGATGGGCTTTAGCTCTGTTGGCATGAAAACCAGCAGCGAAACAGCCCTTTCACATTGCAATACAATTCAAATTCAATACTATCTGTGATCTATGTTTACAATATAAAGTCTCTTAAATGTACAAGGCATAATTATGACCATAAAAAGCCACATTTCAAATATATACTACTATACTACCATATTTAAAAGAGGTCTGTGTCTATTATGACAGAAGAACATAACTAGGTTGAAAAACTCATGGCCACTTTCAGGGGAACATATCAATAGATAATATTTCATAGGCAGGTTTGGAGAAGAGGACACATCTGAAGGAGAACATTTAATCTTAGCTCTGGCAGTGGAAGAAAGAGATACTTTGTCAAAAGACTGTATTATTAGAACACAGTCCAGAGGTAATGCTAGACTTTTTGTGCTGCCAACACTATTAGTGCTAGAAGTGTGACTGTGGAAAGATAAAAACAAGGCCACTGCAGATTACAACGACAAATGATATGAAGCTTGTGAAGACAATTCAAAGATACTGTTTACTTGACTACTGGGGATGTATGTCTTAATCAGCATGTATGCATACGGCAGCCTTTGTAACAGTAGATAAGGTTACATTTGATTTATAGTTTTTACAATGTAATGTTTTATACTTACAGCCCAGATTGAGGTCATCCCCTGTAAGATATGTGGTGACAAGTCGTCAGGAATCCACTATGGAGTCATCACCTGTGAAGGCTGTAAGGTAAGAATAACAATATTGTAAATGCAAAACGTGAAAAGCTCATTTTACATGATGATTTTGTGTCTCTTTTAGGGTTTCTTCCGTCGTAGCCAACAAAACAACGCCATGTACTCATGTTCCCGGCAAAGGAACTGTCTCATTGACAGAACCAATCGTAACCGCTGCCAGCACTGCCGCCTCCAGAAATGTCTGGCTTTGGGCATGAGCCGAGATGGTAAACACAGAATCACTCTCATAATGTATTGTCAGTGTTGCTCAGTGAATAATATAAAGTCTGATACCTAACTTTTTTGTAAAAAATCTTTTTACATACTATGAAATAGCCCTGTGAGTCACTATTTGATGCTTATTGGCTGAGAGCCAATTGGCTGAGCAAGAGAGGACCTCTCTTTTTAGCTTTTCGGCTAAAAAGGTGATAGGACCAAACTATTTTGAGAGCTCGGAACAATGTTAATTGGAATTCATTACATCATTAACCAGCTTCAGGTACCCTTTAAATGACCTCAAACTCATTCATGATACAAAGCATGTATGCATAATATTACATGTTATTAGTTCAGTTCATTTCAATTCAATTTATTTAATAGTATACCATAGTATAATATACCCTGACTGAATAGAAACAGCAGTGACACTCCATCAAACTATTTCAAACATACTAAATCACTAAGAAAGGGAGGACATTTTGGATTCATAATTAATAGCACTATTTGCAATTAGTTAACTAACCAAGTAAAGGAAAGTAAAACTTAAATAAATTTAACTTTTCTGTCAACAGCTGTGAAGTTTGGGCGCATGTCAAAGAAACAGCGTGACAGTTTGTACGCTGAGGTCCAGAAACATCAGAAGTCCCAGGAGTGTGATGGATCTGGCGGCGCAGACTCCACGTCTCCATCTTTGCCTAGAGAAGATGGTGTCTGCAGCAGTGCGGGTGAGGACGGTGAAGAGGGTCTGAGCCGCTCCTACAGCAGTGGTGGCTCCAGCTCCACGCTCAGCGACCTGGACGACATCGCCGCACTGCCAGACCTCTTCGACCTACCACTAACGCCCGAAGAGGCCAGCGAGTACTGCAGTCTCGACCTGCTGGGCGGAGGGGGCGGGGCCAGCACAGGAAATACCTCCAATTCCTCTTCAGCGTCATCCTCTTCCTCGTCCATGTCCAATCAGAACTCTCCTCAGCAGACCACACTGGACAGCCCAGACAGTAATGGCATCCAGTACTCTCATTCACTGCTGGACAGTTTGCCAGATGACTGCTCAATAGCAGACCTTGGTGAGTGTGTCCTAATGAAGTAGTGGTGCATGGAGAGTGATATTTAATAGGCACATATGAGACAAAGTTCAATATTTAGATTTTTCAGAATAATAAAAGAAAACTGTAAATGTAATGATAAAGACGCTACACAGAGCAGATTATTACCGTAACTGGAAAGTGACACACTTAGATAAGGGACAGAAGTAGCAGGAATGTGTGTGTTATGAAGACAATGGTAAAAACAAACTGAAGACTGTAGAGATAGTGAGACCTTGATAAATGTATCACCATGGTGACAAGATAGCAGTTTCTTATGGTAAATATGAATAGTATAGTATTGTGATGAGAGCAAAAATGATCATTAACTGATTATGCTGTTTATCAGGTTACAATCACCTGAAATGGACTGACTGAAAGTTTACAACTAAGCTGGTTTTTTGATTCAGTTATTTGTTTTCTCCAGAGCGAATCACCCAGAGCATTGTTAAGTCTCACTTGGAGACTTGCCAGTACAGTGCCGAGGACATGAAGAGGTTCACCTGGGTGCAATACACACCAGAGGAGGCGCGGAGTTTCCAGGGCAAGGTAAATTATCTTCCAAAGTTGAGGTATAAAGTGAAAATACTCCATCTGAAACCTGCTGTATGTTTCTCCAGTCAGCAGAATGGATGTGGCAGCAGTGCGCACACCACATAACTAATGCTATTCAGTATGTGGTAGAATTTGCCAAACGCACTGCTGGATTTATGGACTTGTGTCAAAATGATCAGATTATTCTCCTCAAAGCAGGTCAGTTTGTGTTCTCAAATGGTCTTATTGTCTTTAAAAAAAATTGTACAATTGCATTCAGTAACATAAAGTATGCTATGCTAACTTGAGTTTCCCTCTGCTTTTGTCTCCAACCTTCTACCTAAACTACAATTTTTATTTATTTATTTATTTTATTTAAAACTATAAATAAAATGCATATATTTGACAATGTGTTATGGTTTGAACTCTACAAAACTTGACGGATATACTTAATTCTTCGGTTATTTGTCAATTTTTCAATTGTTCAAATATGTCTAACATATGCTCCAATCTGGGTCCAAATTATTCACATTTTGTTGTGTATTGTGTGTATGTTGGAGTATTTTGGGCCTTCTGTGTCCCTTCTTCTCTCTTCTCTTCTTTTATCTGTCCCTCTCTCTCTATGTCTATGCTTCTATCTGTGGTTCCCCCTTCAGGATGTCTGGAGGTACTACTCATCCGTATGTGCCGAGCCTTCAACATCAGTAACAACACAATCTTCTTCAACGGGAAGTTTGCCTCTGCACACTTCTTCAAAGCACTTGGTGAGTCGACACTTATAAAGCCACAGTAATTTACATATTTTTCTAAATAACAGTCCAGAAACATTGTGGCCACCTACTATTTCTGTCTATGCGAATGTTCATTTTCACAAAATACTTTCACATTGTCTAAAATTACTTAAGAGAAACTATACATTTTGATTGTCCCTCCAGAGAAAAAGACCACAAAATGCTTTCATCTTATTAGAAAATGTTTTATCTTTACTACTACTATGTAAAAGGGCCTTCATGTTATGCACTATTTGATGCTTTGAGCTGATTGGCTGAGTGAGGGTGGTCCTCTCTTTTTCACTTTCAAAAGCAGATCGAAAGATGTGACAGAGGCCAAAAGCACATGTATGTGATAGAACCAAAATTATTTGAGAGCAAGGGGTTAGATGGATTTTATATAGTTAAAATGTGTGGTTTGAAAGTTAGGCACCCCAACTTTAACAAAGTAAATGTATCTAGTTGTATTAGTTAATAGACCAGTGGCAGTGACAGCCTCAGTGTAAACATATGATTCATTACACACGTGTCCTTGACTGAACATACTTTTTTCCTGGCGCAGGATGCGATGATCTGGTCAGTGCCGTTTTTGACCTTGGTAAAGGACTATGCCGCCTGCAGTTGTCGGATGAAGAAATGGCTTTGTTTAGCGCAGCTGTGCTCTTATCCCCTGGTAAAAAAATTGACATATTTAAGGAAGTGTTTGTTTGCTTCTCCTGGAGACAATAGGCTTTCTGTTGTATTTTGCTAAAAGAGGAATTGCATTATGATAACCAAAACTGTATTCATTATTTACTGATGTTACACAAATATTAAATGTATCGTATTTGTTAGAGTTTGTGTAATTTTTTTGTAATTTTTGTCTAAGTGTTTCTCTCTGCGTCTCATTTAGACCGACCTTGGTTGTCAGAAGGCCTAAAGGTTCAGAAACTGCAGGAGAAAGTCTACCTGGCTCTTCAGCACAGTCTAAACAAAAGTGGAGCCCCAGATGAAAAGCTGGACAAGGTAAGAGCGGCTGTCACGTGTCCTAGCTTCTTAGTGATCAAAAATTAAAACACAGCTTCTAAATCCAGAATTGTTTTTCCCTCTTCTCTAAGATGCTGTCTAAACTGCCCATCATGAAGTCCATCTGTAAACTCCACATTGACAAATTGGAATTTTTTCGATTGGTCCACCCAGAGACTGCTCACAATTTCCCACCACTTTACCGGGAAGTGTTTGGCAGCGATATGTCCCTGCCGGACTCTACAGCCTGCTAGATATACTACAGAGCTGAAAACATATTCTGAAGATAGCGAGGTGAAAGTGAGGCAGAGAAGGACATAAATGTTTAATTTAAGCAACCAGCAGTAGAGAGACAATCCAGGACTTTAAAACTCCTTCTCTTAATCCCAAAGCAGTCCTTAACTTTCCCAGCAGGCAGAAGCACCTTACACTACAGACCACACAAATACACAGTTCTTTGCAATGTAGCACTAACAATAAGTCATTGGGCATGTGTATATAATAGCCCAGTTTAGGACTAGACTCCTAGCTCCAAGCTCCAAGATCTAACTTGATCCACTGCAGATCAACTATTTGAATGTACCTCAGTCATATGCACCAGTGAGTGACACATTAGATTACACCAACTGCGAATGTACCAAACCTGAACTTAGTCAATCACAAATTTACTTTGTCATTGCAGAATATGGCAGCCATGCACCCATTGTAACCACCATCATAGGGACCAATATAAATTCATTTTCTTTAGCTATGATGTGACACACCTGTAGGCTTATTTAAGCTTGTTGACAATTAAACAGTGTTTGGTGCTGCCTTTGTATAGGCTATTGTAATGCAATGAGAAACCTCAGTCCCACACACCCCTACCCTTGTAAATGCCACTTAGAGACAGGACAAAATGAAATTAACTTTAATTTATATTCACATTTATAAACAAATATTTTAAATAAGAATGTAAATAAATGATTATATATATGTAAGAGAGTTAGTTTAGGTGATTTCAGAGTGGATTGTGAAGAAAAGCAACGAGTGAGACATAAAACCAAGACGGATCCAGAACGGTGATTTTATGGCCTATTGTTTTTACGGACTACTTTCCTGTGTGAAAACGCTCAGGTTTCTATGGCAACAACCCCTCTTTTCCTTGAGGGTGACCCAGCAGGGCAAACAAGACACTTGGGTGGACATGAACGTTTGCTGCAGATGTGAGACCGCAGGGTTGGGGTTTTATGCAGCCAAGATAATCATTTGTCTTGCATCAAAACTTTAAGCGTTGAAGACTGCACCACTGCTGCCACAGTAGTAAGCAGATGCGGACAGGAAAACGAGAAGGACAACTTTGATGGAATAGAGTTGTTGTGAAAAGACAGCATCTCCTGCTCGTCTCTAACCAGCACTCAGTTACATCTGTATTGTAAAACGGTCTGTCACATATATTGTTTTTGTTGCCATAACCGTATTGCTGGTAGGAGCAACTGTATTATTTTGTGCATTTGTTGTCCTTCATCCTGAAACCTTAAAGTTGCCAGAAGAAAAAGCACTTATTGTACCCTTCTTTCTCAGTGGACACTTCACCAAACAGAGTTACCAGCTGCCCCCTGGGTTGGGCATCATTGCCAGTAAGACTTTAGTAAAGCCTATGTTTGTTCATTTGGTTTTTGTATTCTGCATTTGTCCTTCAGCTGTTCACATGTAACATAAACAGATAATTCACTTTTGAAACATGAGATGATGATGTCTTACCTGAGTGCTGTGACGTTGAGAGCGGAGTCCTCTGACCTGCTGCCTGCCTCTCAGGGAGCTAGCTGTGATCCTGTCCCTTTATAACCAGTGTCGTCTTTAGCCTTGTACTTTTCACACCTTTTGCACCTAAGATGAGACCCATAACCATAATCACTGTGGACGTAAGCTCTATTTTTGTGAATGTTACTCACAAAGTGTCAAAGCCCTTTTCCTCTTGTCCTAATATTGTAAATGAAATTTACGAGAAATAGGAATAAAAATAAATCACTTCAAGCTAAAGAAAAACTTCCATTTTGGGGTTCATTGTTTCATTTTCTTTTGATGTGATTTACACAAATTGTATCTATGATCATCACCTCTTTGTATTTTCAACTCAAGTTATTACTTTTTTTTAAATAATGAAGACGAGTCAGCACAGGCGTCTTTTTGTGTCATGTTTGCCTTCTGAGATTTTCCTTAGAAACATGAAGTTCCCTCCAACTAGTACATTATACAATCTTTTTACAACATTGAAACATTGTACAAAAACAAGTAATTAATTAGTAATTAATTGATCGTTAACTGCTGTGAAGACAGATTCAATATATGCTAGTGAAATGTGACTCAAATAGAGAGTTTCAGAAAACAAAGCATTTAGAAATTCCGTAAGCGCTTTTTTTTCCTCCAGTGTCTTCTCTTCAGCTTCTTTAATCAATCTGTACATAAAATATCATACAAGCATTCAAAAGAACTAATCTGTTCATTTGAATAATATTCGCTGGATAAAATGATCAAAATCCAAATAATTTTTAGAGGCAGGCCTAATATTATATGAGTTTTTATTGATTCCAACTGAAGTCTTAACTGAGGTTTCAGGGGTGAGGGTGTAAAGTGGTCGTATGGAAAAACAGGAGCACCCGGAGGAAACCTACGCAAACAGGAGAACATGCAAACACCACTCCATGATATACTAAATGGTTGTATTCTCTATCTTATCGATTTAACAAGACGACTTTTCTCTAAAGGAAAAGGCAAGTCGCTGGCTTTATCGATCAGTTATAATCAAAGTTTCACAAAGTAGCGCTTTCGTCTTTAAGGTGTAGAAATAAAAAGGTATACAGCTTGAAGTCAGTCTGTACTCACAGAGAAGTGTGCTGACCCACTTTGAAGAGCCTGGAGCCTGGAGCCTCCCACATGAGGCTGGAGTCCAGGAAACTGTGGTTAACTTCACTTTGGCGAGTTCCGCGGAGCGATCGGATCTTCATTTCTGTGCTGTTGGGTCTCAGTGTAACCTAACTTTTTGGTGGAAATTCACGTTAAGTTCAGCGTCAAGACTGCAAGATGTCAGTCGCCGGATTTAAGAAGCAAATTTATAAAGCCACTCAGGTAAAAGCGCGACTTTTTAAAGATTAGCTTCATGCTAGCTTAAGCGGCAGCTAACCCATAACAGCAGGACAGCACCAGACTCTAGTAACGCAATATACATATATATATAATTAATAAAAAATATACTTATTCTGATCTTTTTAGTGTACATACAGTGGCATTTATATTAAAACCAAGGTCTGTGCTCAGATGTCATGACTGACTGTTATTTTGCATCAATCGATTTGTTTTTTAGAACACCGTGTGATTGTATTGTACTTCAATTCTAGATTGATAAATATACAGTTTATGAGATTGATAGGGCTGAATTGAAGCCCTGTAAGGACAAGAGTGTTTTATCATTGAAAATGATATTTATTATATTAACAGGATTACTGACCTTTTGGACTCCTCACACCGTACACATCTGTATGTAGGAACAGTTAAAGATTAATCTTACAAAAAATAGTTGAATTAAAGATTTAAAAGATTAGATTAGATTCAACTGAGCATTACCATGACAGGATTACATGCGCATCCCAAAGAGTGACAATTTACAAATAAAAGATCATAAATATGTTATAATAATAGTTTTTACTAATCAGCTCTATTTGAAATGTAATATAAAGTATTATATTCTATTTTTTTCAAAATGTTTAGATTCAGATTCATTTATTTGCCATTTGCAGTAAAACCACATTGTTAGGCCGTGGAGGCTTCTTGGTCCTGGGTGTGTATCTAATCATGGAATTTGAATTATTTCAATCATCTGCCTGAACCAGTTAGACTAAACCTAAAGGAAAACTCTGACACGGTTGCTTCCAAATTTAATTTCCAGAGATGTTAACAAAATATACAACAATCATCATGATGATTATAAGATAGAAAATATATATAAGTAATTCAAGTGACGGAGAAGACATTTGTCAAGGAGGAAGTTGAATCAATCAATGGTAAATAAGATATGCAGGAGGCGGTGTAAGTAAGCTGTTGTATATTGGATATAATGGTGTGTCTTGTAACTAGTACTGTCGGAGCCTGTTGGACAGTGAGTGAACAGGTATGTCTTTGAGAGAGTTTGTAAAGTGTCCTATAGTCCCACATAGTGACAAATGTCTCCAGTTCACTGTGGTCAGTTGGTGCTGCTCATCCAGCTGCAGCAACGTGCATGTCACTGATGATGACCACAAACTATGAGCACTCGCTGAATACTTACAATTAGTTTTTTAGGATATTGTTATTTCTCTTGTCATTTAAAAAAAACAGATATTGGTTCTACTTTTTATGCAGTATTTACAATTATTCAGAATTCTCTGTTATGATTTTAAAAGTATGAGCAATATGATAATTGAAGAGTTCATTTGCGAAAAGACATTATCTCCATTTAGAAAATTTGCAAAAAATTGTGCTCCTCTAGTCATAATATTCCAAATGTTTTTGGGGTTTTTTCATGTAGAAGTGAAAGAAAACCCTTTTATTTTCTTTTTTAATGTGGAGCTTATCATGATTTTACCTCACACAATTCTGCCCAAGTTTTTGACAATTGAAGCTTCGCAGTCAGTATCATAACATTGTAATTGTATTCCAACCTTATTACAATAAATTGATTTTGGAAATGTAACATTACAAAATGGAACAGTGCTGAATTTTCCCTTCATAAATCACTGGGATTGCAATGAAAGAATTTATCACGGAAGAAAGAAATGATCAATGCCAATGATATTCCTCTTACCGTTTCTTTAATGATTCCTAAAAAATAAAAATAAATGACATAATAGGTCTAATGGTATTTAAGAAGTGGATAATTATGGTGGATGAGGGTTTTTTTTTCCCCCAAAGAGTTCATGCTGTCTTGTCTTTGGTCCATGGATTTCATGCTATAGCAGGAGGCGGTCACCGTCAGCACCGACCCCATGTGTGAGAATCACCAACCACTAACCAACAACTCTCTATGTGGATAGTGTAAACACGGTAAACATAGTGGTTTGGACATAGATGGTGGTGTTGTTAACTGTTCTATTCTAGATAGAACGACCACATGGATAACAGAAGAGATACATGTTTTAGTTTGTTATGGGCAATTTATCTAATCTATACAATGTAATGTATACTGTGCAGAACCAGGCCTATTTTTTGCACTTTTTTAGTTTTTTTTTAAATCTCTGTACACCCTGGTTTTATTTATATACTTGTCTGGTGCACACTGGGGACTTCTCATTGGAATCTATTCCAATGAGGTTTTACTGCAAACAGGAAAAGGAATCTGAATCTGATCTGTTCTTTTTTTTTTTCAGTTGATGAGTGAGAAAGTAGGTGGAGCGGAGGGTACCAAACTGGAAGAAGACTTTCGGGATCTTGAGAGAGTCAGTTTCTTTTAACTAAGATTGTATACGTTTTAGTTTGTTTGAATGACTCTAATCTTATTTCACAGAGATCTGATATTACCAGCAAAGCAGTGGTAGAAGTCTTCAATAAAACCACTGAGTATATACAACCAAATCCTACTACACGGGCAAAACTGACAATGCTGAATACAGTGTCGAAGATGAGAGGACAGGAGGCGAGCCCTGGGTACCCTCAGCCTGAGGGGCTGCTGGGCGATTGCATGATTAAATATGGGGAAGAGATGGGCAGAGACAGTAACTTTGGTAAGAATATACACTGTGCACTATTTCAAGGAGTTAAATGCCTTGTGTTCAAATATATACATATAATCATATCTAAACCAGGTCTAAAAATATAGACTTGGACTATATGAGGATTAACCCAAAGGAGGACACAATTAGGAACAAAATTGCTTATATTCTGTGATGGAGTTAATTTTTCTAAATGCTACCTTTGAACATCCTCTTCTCAATGGGCTTGATGACACACTGTTTATTTTAACATTTGTAAGTATATTATCAGAAAGCAGAATGAGCCTCTCATTTGGACTGAATGTTTCATTGGGGAAACTACCAGAGTAAATCCAGCAGCTGCAGCTCAACTTATGACAGAGTCAAGAAAAGATCTCACCTTTGTATAATACGATTTTCATTGGTTTCCGATTTAGACAGAAATTGACTTGTTCCCATTTACTATTTACTTGTCCTAGATCCTCGGACCTCAACCGTCTTGACGTTTTCACCTTCAAATTAAACAAAAGATGAATTTGTTAAAAATTATTTTCCGCAGACTTACCTGTCAAATAGTCTGTCAGGATTTACTGCAATATCTGTTTCTCTGTTTAGCAGTTTTTACAAAAAAATTCTTGATTTTAAAAGTCCAGGCTAATATTATTTATTTAAATGAATATGTAAATCCACTTTTTAAAACCAAAATCATTTCTGTGGTGTTCTTGTTGACATGCTAGCAAAATGTCAAATTTATTACTATTACAATTGCAGATGTAATCTTGCTGTTATAAATTGTTTTCAAGCCTAATTCACAATCACAATGAGATGGAGTCTCAATAGTAGAAATGTTAAACTTTTCACATTTTATCTACTTTTTTTCTACTTTTATTGCTGTTTGTAAATGCAGGCGGGGCCTTAAAAGACATTGGAGAGGCAATGAAGTCCATGGCAGAGTGCAAGGATTCCCTGGATATTGATGTGAAGCACAACTTACTGGATCCTCTACAGGGAATTGTAGAAAAGGATATTAAAGATATACAGGTAGAGACCAACACACTGTAAGCGCTTTGAAAATAGTTAGGGGGGGTGTCTGTATTACTTTTCGAAGTTGCCACAGGCGCCACAGATTGATTTAGTTGATGCATTGTTGCTGTATGTATATTCTCGATGGAAAACCTTACAGCCTCGAAAGCGCGCCCTGTTTGTGAGCTCTGCGCAGCATGGTCCATGCTTTTTGTCATTCATCTCTTCCACGTGCACGGAACAGGGTCAACACTAGCGTATATATATCAGAACATATCGGAAACCTCACAAAATTAAATTAAGATAACATCATGGGAGTTTTCTACGTTTCTCAGTAAATTTAACGTTTAACCGAAAGGTACATTATAGTGCATAATGAAGCAAAAGTAGGCAAGATAGCATCAAGTTGATACAGATAAATATTATTCGACACTACCAATAGATAATATGATAATTTAGCTCTCATTCACTATTTTGAAAGTGCACGCCTCAGTGCCCCGTAACCGTTCTTTTCACTGTTCTGGGAGAGAAGGTATCTGATCCCAAGCAGGAAGGAACCAGCCTTGCTCAGATTCTTTAGTCGCTATCGGGGTGCTATGAGACTTTTTTGCCTTAAGATTTTTGCCTTAAGATTTTTGCCCATAGAGCTTGCCCGATATGGCTCAAAGTGTCTTCTTCCTGTAAAAGGAAAACACTGTGGGTCACTTTGTTGACCCATACACTACAATAGTACTTCTGATCATTAACTTTTATAGCGACATAAATTAAATATTAACCCTAACTATCATTCAGATAAGGAGTTTTTCTTTTGAGTACCTGGAGAAGGGTACCATGCTCTAGGTGTTTCCATGAATGTTTATGCTTAAGATATTGTTTATTCTAAATCTTAATTTTGTAACACAATGATTTAATATTGACATTATTATTTTTGTTTTTAACAGTTCCACTTGAAAAAGCTGGAGAGCCGGCGCCTGGATTATGATTATAAAAAGAAACGTCAAGGAAAGATACCCGATGAGGAGCTCAGACAAGCCCTGGATAAATTCCACGAGTCTAAAGAAATGGCTGAAAGGTCCATGCACGGCCTTCTTGAAACTGATGTGAGTTCCTGACTACAATCTACATACAGCACTTTAAGCATTGACCTTATAAAATTTTGTAGACGTGGGGTTAGTGTTACATTTCCACTAAAATCTGAATATCATCCTTAGATGAAAATGTCTCAGAAGTGAAGACTAGTTATCTGCTTAATGATCATGAGTTTGAATCATTTGACCCCAAGACTATCTACACTATTGATGTTTTTACTCTATTTGACCAAGGCAGTGGCGTCCAATCCTGTACAGGACGGAACATGATCATGCACATTCCCATTGAGATTGCTAATGTTTTTCAAGGGAGTTCTGGTCAACACAGCATCACAAAACAATCACAAAAACGTTGATACAAGAAACATTAAAAAACTTAAATGTTTCCAAACCTTTTCAGTATACTTTTTTAAAACTTCAACACATGAATGCATTGTAACATGTAATCAAGTTAGTAAACTGGTAAGTAGAGAAGCCAAAGAGTGTTAGCTGATACTTACAGAATAATGTTTGATGTGGTCAAAATGAGCCTACTTATAACTTGGGTAAATAATATATAAAGTATAGATATTTAAGTTAAATCTTTTCCACTTTCTGCTGAGTATGTGACATCAATGTAAAGTGTGATATTTACAATAAACCAAAAACAATCAATAATGGTTTGATTTGAATACATTTTAAATTATAATCTTACAAATTGTGCAAAATATTGTCTCTCAAAATGATATAAAATCTTTATTCAGCTGATAACTTTCACATTAAGATTTTGTTATTGTCTGATTTCATGTAAAGCACTTTTGCCAAAAGATTGCTTTAAATTGTCAATTTAAATTTGTCCTCCTTACTGCTTTCACCCAAATGTTGTTATACTGTTATAAATCCTAGCCTTGGAGAGCTCAAGCTCACTGACACACCTTGTTTTCTCTTTTTACTGCAAAACACAGAGTTGTTAAACCGGTTTGGTTTGTAATGTACTCTCTCGAGAGTACAAACCAGACGTGACATGAGCGAGCCATGTGTTTGAAAAGATTCATGTAACACATTGACATGTTCATAAAAACAACACCATGTAATGACGACGTTGTAAGAGTCTTGTCACCCTCCTCTTCTTTTCGAGCCGTAAATAGACTGTGTATTTGTGTAGGTGGAGCAGGTGAGTCAGCTGAAGTTCTTCATTGAGTCTCTGCTGAATTACCACAGAGGGGCCACACAAATCTTGGAAGAACTCCAAACAACGCTTGCAAGCAGGTTAGGGGTGCGGGAAATGTTCTCTGTGTGCAATTGAAAAGATTTTACAGCTAATGAACTTGACTTGCCTCGTCTATTTTGAAAATGAATGATTATTAGATTCATGCATCAGATTATTTTAGGCAATTAAGCTAAGTGAAAATGTTTGTTTATTTTGAACAGAGTCGATGAGGCTTCATCTCGGCCAAGGCGTGAATATACCCCGAAACCAAGGCCCTCCTTTGATTATGGTGAGATGAATAACTCCAATGAAAGCTATGCACCAGCTGCCAGCAGCCCTCCTGCATACTCTCCAGGTAAGGGGGGCTCGTCCACTAGAGCTCTGGTTAATATATTCATTTAATGGCAAATCATCATATATGTATAAACCATACTCTGGCTGCTTTCTGGAGAGGAGCCCAGGGGGCTTTGTCACAGTTTGGACCCTGAATTGTGAGATGTTTAATTCATTTTTTGTTTTATTTTGTGACATTAATTAGCTTCAGCACAAAATTCTGCTCCTACATTCCCCAATAGAACATCAGTCAAGAACAGACCACGTGAGTGACAGTGTTGCCCAGTAATGGATGGGGTCTCTGTCTCTTAAATATGATTGTTATACATGCAGTGCTGTGCAAAACTTTTAGTCCAAAAAAGTGTTTTAAGATCTTTATAAAACTTTACAACGTTGAACCTATTGTATGCCTTTTGCACTTATTGCAGACTGGTTTGTTCATTGTTTTTAAAGATAGATTTTTGCACAGTATTGTCCTAACTATACTACTAACAACTTGGATGGGTCAGCCAGTTCAAAGTGCATATGACAGTTTCATAGGGTTAATGAAGTCACAGTTTGAACCTGCCAATTAGACTGGAGTTTGGCATTGTTAACAACTAATAAGGTCTTTAAGTAAACTAATAAAAATGAAAAATAATAAAAGTAAGGAGTTCCAGTGGTGATTGATACACCCTGGGCAGTGACCCCAAGCTGAAGTTATGGTTACAGCAGATTTCTGGAACAAGAAATGTGCACTGCTATGACCAGCAAAGTACTGTGCAGAACCCTCAAGCTCTCTGGACCTGAGCTGAGAGGAAGAACCACCTGTAAATGCAGTAATATATATGATATGTAGCATGCTCTTTATACTTTGTACATTATTAAAATAATACATGATATGCATATACTTTTGTTTCTTGCCTGTGGAAGCTTAACAGTTCTCAGTCAGGAAGTATATGAAAGATTTGGAGAAACTTCTTTAATAAAATGAGATCTCTGTTTTAGCTGTCATATGCACTTTAAGACTCTGAAAAAGGTTTAACAGCAGCAGTGTCACTGCCATCCCAACATTCAAACATCTCATGTTTGATTAATAAAAGTATTTATTTTTTCAGGGTTAGTTGAAAAGGATTTTTTTTTTCACTAACACTTAAAACTTTGATGTGGGCAGAACTTGCTTACAATAAAGTCCCTAAGAGAACACTGACCTCAGAGCATTGTGAGTTTTTTAGTGACTCTGCGCAACTTTGATCCAAACAGTGATGCAGTCTGCAGTCCACCTGCTCTAATTAAGTGCTGCTCCTGCTCCAAAGTCAGTGTACTCAGACATAACTTTGACTGCTTTGTGCTTTTTAAGTATTTTAAGTGGCTGGTTCTCTAGGACAAGATATATGCCTCTAATCCACTGATACTATGTTCAGATCAAATATCGTCTGTAAACATGCATATACTATTTGTTCTTGAGCCCCAAAAAATACTAGTTCTGCACCATGGGTTTTGTTGACTACTTTATTCAGGCAGTGTATTTTTCCTAATTTTTGTATTTGTTCTTCTCTTTCTGTGCAGCTCAACCATCATGTAAAGCTCTGTTTGACTTTGAACCTGAAAATGAAGGAGAACTTGGCTTTCAAGAAGGTGATGTCATCACCTTGACCAATCAAATTGATGAGAACTGGTTGGAAGGGACACTTCATGGGAAAACAGGGTACTTCCCAATAAACTATGTTCAAATATTGGTACCGCTGTAGTTGTGAAATCACACGAAATGAGGTTTATGGACCAATGACTTTGATACAAAAATCATAATATCAGGGAAAATGGTGATCTAAAAACCAATTTAAGTGGGATCATTTGTGGAATTGTGTATACAAGTTAGATTAGACAACAGGGTTGTTTAATTCCAGGTGCTTTTTCCACTTTAAGCAGTTTCATATGCTATAAATGTTTGACACTCCAACAAGAAGATTCTTCTTCATTTAATATAATATCAACACACAGTAGTAAAGTGACTGGTCACAACTGTGTAGTGCGGTTATAAATGTAATAGTTTTGCTTTGTGACCCTTGTTCTTTGTCCTTAGTCACAAATAATAATGAAGTGCCTCTTGAGGGTATTCCTACTTCCTGGTACAACAGTACATGCATACGTGCATTATTTTAAACACTATCAAGGCAATATTGACATGCTGCTTAAGGACATTTGTCTGTCTATAATGATCATGTGCTGCCACCTCGTGGTTGTTCAGTATGCAACAAAATGTACATCTTAAACAATTGTATATATTATATATAGTGTGTGCAGCATTGTTTGAAGAATATAATTTCCGTTTTCAAGCAGAGGCTATTTTTCCACTGTGGGAAGAATATAGGTTCTCTTATCCTATTTTCATCACATTTCAAGCATGAAAGCTGCTTTGCCATCGTTTGAGACAAAATTGTGGAGTGACGCCTCATTCTACAGGCTCATAATAGTGAATGTCAATGTTGATAAAGCCTTACAGAGCGTTCAAAACTTTTAAAAACACTATCTCTGTTCAGTTGTCATGAGATCCTTGTTCGACCGTCTCCCATCCCGCTCATCCTGCTTGTCACTGTTTAGACTGAAAGTGGAACAGACATGCTCTTTGAGTAGAGGAGGGCCCAAAGCAATGGATTATGCCCTCCCCCCATGAGTTTTTATTCAGCACCTGCCTCTGTACCCCTAACCCCTTTCTCATTATTATCCCGTGCCTGCCCCATGGTGCCTTGGGAGCTCAGCCTCACTGGTTCATCTCCAATAACCTCTTTCTGGGTGTGTTGGAATTAGAGCCTACGTCGGGTCAGGGCTGATATAATTATATATACATGGTCAAGACATTGGCTCATGCCAATTTACTGCTGTGGTTCAGGTGTATGTTTACATGCCTCATTACACTAAATGAAAAGCCTATAGGTTCAGAGGGAATATTAATAGGCACAGCTGAGTCCTGCCATTAAGATAGAAGGAAAGCATTGTTGAACAAAAGATTAATGACTCTTCTGCAGCCCCCTAAAGAGTTGTCTGAAAGCTACATCTGATATTTAAACAACACCAATGTGTAGGCTTATAACCTGATCAACCAAAGAATAATTATGACACTTTAGTTTGCAATAAATTAAGTATTTGGCTTCTAGTATTGTTGTTAAATGTTATTATATGAAATGTAATGCTGCTTGTATGAACTGTGTCTCCTCATCCTCCAGTCTCATGTGGTTGTGATACGAGTGAGACATGGGATTATTTTGGATTATTCAAGCAGGATATACAGATTACCTCTGTACTTGATGTAATCTTTATATCATTGTATATAGTTTTTTATTATTTTTTCCCAATAAACGTTGCCATTTACACAACAATCGAAAGATCTTTTCATTCATTACTGGTGTGTATTGTTACCAGATTGGCTCGTTTACTTTATTTGAAATGTATAAATATGATAAACCTCATTTTAGTTCAGTTAATTGAAGACGCTTGCGTTATTTGTGAATGATTTGTGTTGAATAAATGACGTCTCTACAGCAATAATGTGAATGAGCCCCTCGGTTAGAGACACAGCTGTTGGATTTACGACCACATCTCATCTCATCGGGGAAGGCGTGTCACTCCCAGAATTACTCAGCGCCCCTTTGTCCTCGGTGGATGCCCAGCCCGCGATACTCATGGCGGCAGCATCCGTCAAGCATCGCTGCGGGCCAGGGGGACCCCGGGCGCAGCTCCCACCTTGCTATTATGAAGGATACCTCGAGAAGCGTGGACCCAAAGAGAAGGTAAGACCGTGCGTCAGTATGGACCAGTGTCATGTTGCAGTGCTACAGTAACCTGGAGAAGGCTCGATGTGCCGGCGGATCCCCCCGTTCCTCTGAACTTCCTCTTGTGTGGGGATAGGCGCGTCCGGTCAGTGGTTCAGTGGTTCAGTGGTTAGGATCTGAATTTAAAAATGCCGACAAAAGAAAAGCATGGTTTTGATTGCAGTACGACAATGATCATCCTAATCGTACTCACGAGTTACAACATGATTGCATGCTTCACTGTCCAAATTGTAAATCTGACATTACATTAAAAGATTCGAATAAAAAAACAGATGTTTTCCGTGCATCACTCATTGCTATTTGTGATCATCTTATCCATATTTTAGATCATTCTGAAAAAGCACTGTTTTTGGGAAAGACTGTCTCTCAAGACAGTCTACACTACAGTATATAAGAGCCTTGCTCGGGTGGTGCAGAATATTGCAGAGTTTGACGGTCACAGACTGGTAGCAGGTGTTTTGTAGCTCCTGAAAAATGCAATTTGGGCAATAAGGATAATAACCATTATACTATTTTTTACAATACCACTATTGTGTCTATTTTCTTGTTTTTCTATGATCTGTTTTGTAGGCATCCAAGCGTCTGTGGACTTGCCTATGTGGAAACTCTCTGTATTTCTTCAATAATGCCAAGGATACTCATGTAAGTTTCGGATCTTAGCCTACATTCCCCCTGATAACTTGCAGGTCTGGTGCGTGAGTGAATGTGGTGGTGATATGTTGGCACACTCCGACAGCCTTGCTCTCATTAGTATGTTGCAGGGCAGCTGTGGCTGCAATAATTGTTGACCACCTCCCAGTATGGATTAAATGAATGACAAGGTCTATGCCTTGTATTGAATTGCAAAGCATAATCATTATTATTTGATTTTTTGTAAAACAAATGCTGTCTTATGATACAGTTTGTGGAGAAACTGGACCTGGGTGGATTTGTTTCTCTGAAGGATGACTGTGGCCGGGACAGAAATCTGGAGGCAGCTCGCCTCATCTTGAGAATGAAGGATGGGGAGACAAAACTCACTGTAATTATAACCAAACCTATAAAAATTGGACTTGTTATTCTATGCAGGTCATGGATTCTTGTGTTTTTTAGGCTCCAAATTTGGAATCAAGAGAACTTTGGAAAGGATTTCTCTACTCTGTTATAGATGTAATTAATCCTTACTATATGGCTTGATGTATCTCATAATTTTGTAATTTTCCTGCCGAATCTCACGTTTTCCTTTATTCTGTTATAGCTAAATGTACCATCATGTCTAACGTTGCTTCCTGGTCAGCTGCAAATGCTTAAAGAAGTGGTGGAGAAAGAAAGATCTCGACGTAGAACTCGTACTCCAACTCGGGCTCCACCTTCACCCCTCTCAGTGCCTTTAGTTGGAGAGATCCCAGCGTAAGTGGTATTGCGTTTAAAATAAGGCCCATGATAAGAATAGATGCTGCACTTCTTGTAAGGCGCTTTGAGTGACCCATCCATCCATCCATTGTCTTCCCCTTAATCCATTTCTGGGTCGGGGGGTGGCAGTCAGAGCTGCACCCAGTACACAGAGCACCAGCCCCTCACTGATCCTCCTGCAGGTGGTGAGTCCACAGGAGCTGAGATCTTTCAGTGGGAGCTTCAGGCAAAGTGGGGTTAAGTGTCTTGCCCAAGGACACAACTTTGACGCTTTGAGTGACCTTGGTCTGTAAAAATGTGCTATGTAAATAAAGATTACCTCCTTACTTACTTACACTCAGGGTTTGTGCTATGCAGGTGTTTTCGACCAGTCTCACGAACAGAAGCAGAAGTGCTTTTGGAAAGACATCCTGATTGTGGAAACATGTTACTGCGTCCAGGCAGAGATGGGTGTTCACTGGCTGTCACGACCCGCCAGGACCTGAATGGGTAATTCTTAGCTGATGTTTTAAACACATATTGACTAAGTATAATGTATTTTGATTATGTTTTACTTGGACCCTTGTGAGCATAAGGGATTACATAGAATAACTTGAATAACTTTATTTTAGGTCAGTCTTCAGACATTATCGAGTGACTCAGAGGGACCAAGGTGGATATGTTATTGATGTAGAAAATCCAGTAAGTGAGGCACTCATAATTGTTTTTAGATTATAGAAGAACCATCTTGTCTTGTTATGTTTTAGATTCCATGTGCTACTCTACACGAAGTCATTGATGCATTAGTTGAGAAAACTGCCGGAACACTGCAACCTTTCTTACTGGAAGAACCTTATGAAGAGAATATCAGTGAGTAGCTCACTATCAGTGAGTTGTAAACTTTTTTCTTAAACTCTTTGTCTCATCAGCATATGTTACGGCCAATGATGAGAATGGAGAGCATATGCTTCACACTGCAGTTCCTACTAGTCCTCTGCCAAGGGCTCCTGCACTGCCTCCAAAACAAGGTACTTAAGATAAGCCCATGATGTAAAAACACAAGACTGTTGAAACCCACCTCTGTTCTTGTTTAGATCGCTGGTGTACGAGCCCATTGTCTCGATCTCCTGCTCCAGACCGCCGTATTCTGACTTCACCAGTTCCATCTTCTCCCACCAACCCAATGAGACGACTCGTCCTCTCTCCATCTCCTCTCACGCAGTGTGAGTAAAGGCTCAAGTTGCATGTTTTTTATTTGTTAAAATATGAAGTTAACACTCCCAATTTTCTTATTAGCACTAAACGAGGAGTTGAAAATGAAGCTGGAGATGAGACGAGCCAGTCAAGAGTAATATTCTTTTTATTACTTGCTGTGTGACATTAATGACTCTTGGGCATCAATTCTTTCCGATCGAATGAAAATCTATTTCCATGCCGATTGCTCTGAATGTTTTTGTTTCATTCATGTAGCACCTATATCAAAATGATGGATTAACTTTGTGTCAAAATGTTCTCTGCAAATGAGAAACGAGTCCTGCTGTTTTTTTAACCGTTTAAATCCTGCTGGACTCAAGGACCACTGACAAAACCTTTTCTTCCAGCTGCAATCGATTTATGGCTGCAAAGAACAACTGAAATTAACCTTTTTGTTGAAGCCTGTACTACAAACTATTTAAATATGAGCAGTTATTTGCACAGTTTGCCTTCTGCTCTAATTACTGATGACAGACGATGGTGCTGGTGTAGCACTGCTATTGACATATCTGCAGGATACTCACATAGGTGCTTTTTACTTCTTATTTTCTGCATGACCTAACCACGCCCTCTAGTGGATTTATTGTGGTCAAAGGGTCATCTGTTCTTTGATACATCATTTCTATCATCAGCACAAGTTGCAAACAAAAGAAACATGTTTTCTTGTTTACATGAAGTGTCATGTTATCATTGAATAATGATGTTGTGTGAACATTTTATATCAATTGGCAGCTGGTCACGGTTTTCTCTTCTTTTATACTATAAAACTATTAAAGATGGAGTACGTAACTTAAACCCACCAAAGGGGACTATGTAACAAAACCAGCTTCAGATCAGATTGTTTTCTGTGAAAAAGGAGAGTACCAGCCCTCCCTCAGCCAATCACATCTTTTGTAAATGAATGCTTAGATTTGTAACATGTTTCTGTTGGGGCAAACAAAATGTACAAATTAAACTAAAGTTCTGTACTCCGGCTTTAAGTAATATAAACTGTGAAGATGTATCTTTGAGTTTTTTGTACATAAAAAAACAAAAACAAACACTTAATCTTTGGATATATTTAATAATGGAGTTGATGTAAAGAATATGCCTTAAATCTAGCCTTACTATTTTTACTTCACTCAACATTTGTGCATGTTATTTATCATTTATGTATTTATTATTATTATTTATGTATTATTTATAAAGTTATTTATTTTTCTTTTAATTTAAATAAATCCGATCTCTGATTCAATCTTCCTATTTCCATAAAATCTTGTCATGTTTCAACTTGTGTCAACACACTGTAGCCAACCAGCAGAGATACACATTTACATTATCCAGTGAGGCTGTGTGGACAGGACTGGATGAGCGCGTCTTTCTGTCTGCCCCACAGACCGTACAATAGACCACACAGTCACGCACGCGTGGTCTGCTCCGACCTCTGGTCCCTGGTCTCTGGTCTATCCTCTGGTCTATCCTCTGGTCCCTGGTCTCTGGTCTATCCTCTGGTCTATCCTCTGGTCTATCCTCTGGTCTATCCTCTGGTCTATCCTCTGGTCTTTGGTCTCTAGTATCTATCTCTGGTCTCTGTCTGTGGCTCTGGTCTCTGTCTGTGGCTCTGGTCTCTGTCTGTGGTCTGCCGGGGGCAGACTCCTGGTGTTGTCTCTCCGCTGCTGAGGCTCCGTGGGGCGGGAGGAGCTGAGGGCTGTGCCCGGGAGCGCTCCACGGTGCGAGGTGTAGATCAGACGAAGTCCGGAGTTGATAGAAGTCACTACTGAACCTGTCCTTTTCCTGCAACATGACCACGGTGGGAAATGTAAGCATGTAAGTAAGGTCTTTGTGCTTTGTGGTGTTAGACAGGATCACCTGCTGGGTAATGTTTAACCATTATCATTCGATATATTTAACACTAGTTTAACGAGCTTCCGTGTGCGTTTGGTTTCATTTGACAACAATAACATTATTTGACATTTATCTGTACGGTGTAGAGGCCCCAGGGCTGTTGTGTGGGTTAATAAAGTAGTATTAGTTGAAATAAAGTGTGTTGTGTGTTAACCCTTTGTGGCTAATAATGAACTGTGCTAGCAGTCATGACATGGAGACCATAAATGTCGCTCACAGTCATTTCATAAAGGAAGTTCGTAAACCACACGCATTTGTTCAAAGGGTGTTAATACTTCTGCGCAGGTTTGTTTAGGTTCTTGTTGTTATTTTCTTCTTGCTTAAGTAGACGCGGTGCAGATGTCAAGTATTGGACTTCATTGACCTGGGGCTAAAATGTGAAATCTCTTTTTGGTGCCGCATTCTTTGACAAGCCTCTGCAGCCCCGACAGAAGAGCGCACTACTACACACACCCACTTGCCGATAACTTGTAGAAGGATCGCTACCGGGTCCAGAACACTGGGTAGAGCCAAGCCCGGTGTGTAGGGCAATCACTGACCTAAAACATTGTGCTGCTGATAGTATAAGTTGTTTCAGACTAGAGGTAAAAGCGGTTTCTTGTTCATAAAGCCTTCATTGTGTACTTGTTTGGCTCTGTAGAAGAGTTAAAGTTGACATCCCTGCGCCCTGCTGAATGCCTTTCATGGCCTTGCATTAACATCACTATGCCACTGACAGAAATACTGCTGAGCTGGCTTTAGTCCACACCTCTTTCGCTTCATTTTTCGATTATAGTAGCATGTTGTGTAATTATGAGTGCGTTTTCTTTGTATACAGGTTTTGGTATTCTCTGTGTTTAATTATCTTCTCTTTGCTTGATATACATCTCTGTATTTGTTTCAGGTTGCCTCACACTTGTGTCTTGGGTCCAAGTCATCCATCTCACCATGGGCTGCCTGGTGAGCGAGGCCAGTAAAGGGGCCAGTGCCATTCAGTCGGCACAGACCTCATCACGTCACAGATGCCACTCTCTGCTTGATGAGAAACAATAAAGCTAAAATTCCCGTTGCCCAAACAAAGAAGCCATGCATTCGCTGTTGTTCCTGTGTGTCGCCTGGCTGCTGCCAATGGCCTTGACACTGGAAGAAGAATCCCTAGAGTACCCCCTTCCCCGTAGAACCGTCCCCTATCAACGTAAGTAGTTTCTCTTTTTGTTCCAATGCCTTTGTTAATAATTGAAATGTTTCATACGGTTTATAGAACAAAGGTTGAACTGTGATGATTTGACAAAGCAACACAAATAAGTGATTGCAGCAGAAATGCATAAACAAAAAAAGTTGCTCAATCATTTACATTTACTCACGCCATTATTATCTGACATGCATCCTTTCAAGTAAGCAGGCACATTTCATGGTTCTTGTACTCACATTAAAACTGACTGTTTTTTACTCTGATATGACGTGCATTGTTGAAGGCTGTTGAATTAAGATATAATGTTTTCTCTACAGAGGACAATATTTACATGTTTAATGAAGAAGGCGTCTTCAACTATTCTACGATGCTGTTAAGGGAAGACCTGGGCCTGTTGGTCATTGGGGCCAGGGAGGCTGTTTATGCTGTCAATATCTATGATGTTTCTAAAAAGTTTGATTCAGTAAGAACACACTTTGTTATTAATAGCCATTGTGAACATAATACAATAGCAAGAAAATTGCAACAATTGTTATAACCTTGGAATTGCGTTTAGGTGAAATGGGAAGTGACGCAAAAACAAAAAGACGATTGTAGAAACAAAGGGAAAAACCCAGAGGTATGACCTTCTATTTTGTTCTTTCCATTTAATGTATTTTGTGTTGTTCTGGCTTCTGTATTAGTTGTGCTTTTGTTGTAGACTGAATGCAAGAACTACATTAGAATTCTTCATGAAATGAAAAACAACCAAATGTATGTGTGTGGCACTAATGCTTTCGACCCAGAGTGTGACTACATGGTGAGATATACTAAAACAAAATGGACCGTTTTAATTTTTATCCATATTTTAATGAATTCGACCAAAATATAATACAAAATGCAACTTGTGTTTACCAGTCATACAGCGATGGGAAGTTGACTCTAGAAAAAAAATCTGAAGATGGGAAAGGCAAATGTCCATTTGATCCTTATCAAAAATATGCCTCCCTCATGGTTGGTATGTGGTATTCTTGACCAGTTAGTGTTTGAGCAACCAAATGGATGAATCAAGTAATTTGTGGAAAATCTTCTATTTTAATTGTTTAGATGACGACTTGTACTCTGCCACATCAATGAACTTCCTGGGCTCAGAACCTGTTCTGATCCGGAGTCCTGATGTCTCGATACGAACTGAGTTCAAGACCTCATGGCTTAATGGTGAGTCATATTCTTGGAATTACTTGTCTGTAAATGTATATATTTTTTCTTTGACTCAGTAAAACACTGATTGTTTTGCATATAATGCCCATGTCAGAGCCTCACTTTGTGTCGTTGGCTCATATGGCTGAGAGTGCTGACAGTGCCACTGGAGATGATGACAAAGTATACCTCTTCTTCAGTGAGACGGCAGTGGAGTGTGACTGCTATAATAAACTGGTGGTGTCCCGTGTAGCTCGTGTGTGCAAGGTAAAGCCATTTACGTTCATGAGTTTTTACTATGTCAAAATGTTTATGCACAGAATTTGATTCAACTACCCCCTGCCCCCTTACCTTGTTATTGTTGGGCTAAAACAAATTACATAACATGCTTAGAAGTTTTATGGCTGCTGGATTAAATTAAGATGTGTTTGCAAAGTGTTATCTATAATGGGGCATCAGTAACCATTGTTTTGGTCAAATCTATTGAAATATCAGACTGTTTGTCACTTTGAAACATTTTGCTATGAAATTGCAATTAAAGCGTTTCTGTAATTGTTGTCAGTTGCATAATCAAATTAATATCTTAAGCTCTACCTATCTGTTTGTGTTTTCATTCATAAGCCTTAACATATTGCTCTGAAAGTATAAATAGTGATAATAGTGATCTTAGAACGAGTAAGAACTGAAATAACAATTTACAAAGATATAGGCCTACTGTTATACCAAGTAAACGCAGACTAAATACAACACTTAAATAAAATCTGATGTAGTCACAATAGTTAGTATTGTATGTTTCACTGGAACACAGGGCGATCTGGGAGGGGAGAGGACCCTACAGAAAAAGTGGACTTCTTTCCTGAAGGCCAGGCTGGAGTGTCCAGTCCTGGAGTCTCAGCTGCCTTACGTCATAAAGGACTCTTACCACTGGTGTGATCCAGAGAAGCCTTGGACCTCTTGTTTGTTCTACACCATATTTACTCCACAGTCGTAAGTTGAAAACGTTTTGTTATCAGGCGATTTTGGTGCTACTTGTGCCTATTTTTCTCCTCTGATTTAGAGACGCATCAGAACTGTCGGCTGTGTGCGTGTACAAAGTTTCGGACATCAGCAGAGTGTTTTCAGAGGGAAAGTACAAGACCCCTGTCACTGTAGAGACGTCTTTTGTTAAATGGGTGATGTATAGTGGAGAGGTCCCTTCCCCGCGGCCTGGAGCAGTGAGTTTTGCCTTGCACTTGCAAAAATCTCATCAAAAGAATTCTTTAAAGCAGACACTGTCTTTTTGTTCTCTGAACCTGTTTTCTCTGTTGTTCTTTGCCAGTGTATTGACAATGCAGCTCGTAAAGTGGGCATAAATCAGACCTTAGACCTCCCAGATCAGACACTTCAGTTTGTCAAAAATAGGCCACTCATGGACCAGGTCATTCAGCCTGTTGGAGGAAAACCCAGTCTGGTCCGAAAAGGGGCCATGTTCACTCGAATCATTGTGAACAGGGTGCAGGCTGCGGATGGCAACATGTACGATGTTATGTTTATTGGCACAGGTTTGTGAAAAGTGTTGGTTGAACATTTTTGTGAACTTGTTGCAAAACATCACAATTTTATCCAATTAATGCAGAAAATGGCACTATAGTAAAAGCCTTGAATTCTGATGGAGAAATGTTCATAATTGAGGAAGTGCATGTCTTAAAGTCACCAGAGCTTATTAAGATACTCCGCTTTTCCACCCGCACGGTAAGTTTTTTAGATGCTAATGAATGTGTTGTTATAAATGTAATGGTCCATGTGTACAGGATCAGCTGTATGTTGGATCAGACTCTGGAGTTGTCCAAATATCTCTTGCCACCTGTGAAAGGTCTACCACATGCATGGACTGTGTTCTTAACAGAGACCCATACTGTGGCTGGGACAAAGGAAGTGGCAAATGTATTGCTCTCTCTAAATCACAAAAGTATGTGGCTGTGCTCTCAAAATGCATACTTCATATACCTATTTAATCTTACTTTTGTATTATTTCATTTTCAAGTGAACTCATTCAAAGTGTACAAGATGGTGATGCATCTCTTTGCCCAAAAACTGGTGAGTATAATGTTTTAGCAGTCTGTGACCGGTTACTGACAAGTTATGGTTGACTTAGAGCTGTGTCAAGTGTCAGAATAAATCCATTGCTCCATTTGTTCAGCACAAGCATGCTTGATGGGAGGGGCAAAACTGTTGGAAAATTGCTTCACAAATGGCTTTCTTCTTACACAATTTTTGTAAGAATGTTTCACCACTATTACTCTGTAGATAGTTTTTGGATCAGCAGCATTGTTTATTTGAAAAATTCCTCTTGAACCTTTCAGTCAAAATTATGCATAATCGCTGTAATGGTATTTTTTATACTGTTTGATTACATGGCACAAGGGGCGGCCAGTCAACTGCACTAATATTAACCAATATCAAAATATATAATATAAAATGTGTCTAAAAGCAGTCAGCTGATCTGTGATCATTTATCAGTCATCAGTAAAATTTTCAATGGTCCCACCTACTGGACTACTGGTCAAAACAAAGTGACCGATTACCTACAGCTGTATTACCTAAAGCCAGGACAGCTGTAACACAGCACTACGTACTTGTTAATGTGCCTAAGCTAACTGATTGTTTTGGTCATAATTGACTTAAATAATGGTAACTTAAAACAAATTGCTATTTGTTTTGTTAAAAAAGTCAGTCATTTTAACATGTGTTGTAGTTTGTAATAATACAAATATGACTCATTGACAACTATCACTATCGGTCAACCCCTATAGAACCTACAAAAGAAGTGTATTATTGCTGGGTTTCTGTTGCATTAACTTCTTTGGTTACATTCAGATCCATTCACACCGATTAATCAATCGATTTGGGTTGGTGGCAACTTGAAGCTTCAGTGCACTAATCCATCCAACCATGCTGCAACCTTATGGAAGCAAGACAGTGAAACGCTGAACCCTACACGCCGTCACCACTTTTTGAAAGATGGCTTACTGATTCTGAATGTGTCCAACTCGGATACCGGTCTTTATCGTTGCCTCTCAGTGGAGCGTTCCAAAACCAATGAGTTTATAAGCACTGTGGCAGAGTACCAGGTTCTCGTAGGCTTGTCTAAAGCTGGAGCTGGAGATGGCGTGCTGGTTCCTCATGCTCAGTGCGATGGACCTTCAGTCGCAGGCCTACATGCTGCAATCACCATCTTTGCATTAGCCTTTTTTGGGCTTCTATCTTTTAATATATACAAAGGACACTTCACCCAGTTGTGCAAACACCGAGACAAGAGTGGACAACAGTCTTACACCTTTGAGGAGATGGCCTTAGACTCGAGCAACAACAAGCAGCAGGCAGGGACCGAGAAGCCCCTAGTGTCTAACACGAACAGCAGCAGTAATAATAATCACAACAATGGAGAAGCCACATAAGGTTTCTAATAACAAACATTTAATATAAAAAGTTCAGAGTTCAATTTTGATACATTGTTTTTATAGTTGTAATAGAAGTTTGAGAACAAATGTGAACAGTTACAAAGAGAGGCTTTTGTTCCCTCAGTTGGATTTTTTTGTTTTTGTGGCCCAATGGATATGTACACATGGACTGTCATGTGTGGCTATTACAGATTTCTGCTTACAATGTCAATTAAGTTAAACACTGAATTGTTGTCTTTTTATTTGAATAAAATCAGTTGGTCTTGAACCTTTTTTTATCTTCTGTAGCGGTATCTCTTGAAGTGGAACCACAGTTGAAAGATCCCATTGGCGAACTGACAACGAAAGCCATGTCTGTGGGAATATTCCCATTCTCTGTTCACAATCTTAAAAGCAATGTCCTCATATGGAGGTCCTGCATGAAATCTCAGGATCCCAAAATCCTTATTATCTGGGCATGGTTCAAGGAAATACTGAGGAGTAGAGCGTTTGTCAATAAGATCTGGGTAAAAAATGTTAAATTTGTAACCCTGGACAATTTTAGGTGGAGGATTATCAAAGTCATAATGCGTCTGGTTGTATTTGTTCCACTCAAATCCTGTGTGCACCCTGTTGAAGAAACGTGGCTTTCTTGGGCGGTATTTATCTGCCCACAGGTACATTTTTCCTGTGACTGGAAACTCCACACTGAACTGGGCCTCGTCGGTCCCCATTCCCTCTCTGGCACGCCGAATAAAAGCATCTTCAGCACTCTCACTGGCATCACCTGGAAATAAACATTTGTTTACGTTTTCAACTCTCAGAAGAGTAGCTGTTCATACTTATGTCATGATACCTTACCTGTCACCTGTAAGAGTCGACGTGCCAACTGCAGCCTGTGGAGGTCCTCCTCTGGGGTAGTAGTGTGAGAATCTAAGGGCAGCTCTGAGGTGGTGATGAGCGGTGGACTGTAGCGCCCAGAGTCATATTCTGCTTGACTCTGTTGAATCAGGTCTTCCTCTGTCAAAACCGCTTCAGTCTCTTCTTTACTCTCCTCTTCCTGACTGTTGTCTGCTCCCTCCTGTGGATTTTCTGCAGATGTTTTGGATGGACCCTCTTCTTCCGCCTGATGTGGTTCATTGGTGGTCGTGGGGTTTTCTTTAGTCACGCTTTCCTGCCTAACATGTAAACATTTTGTTTGCACCACTGTAATTATTCTCTAGATGTGAATATTTGTAATGTACCCTTGATCGATATCTGATGGCTCGTCTTTGATAATGGGGAACAAGGGTTCACTTTCCACACCCTGTTCCTGCTTCAGCTTGAACAGCTTCTGTCGCAGAACATCTTGGTGGCGTTCTCGAAGCCTTGAACAAAAAGAATGTAAACATTTCATTGTCATTTTGATAAAAGTGACACCTATAAATAATAACAATCAATAGTCAAGTTTTTATTCATACCTTGCTTTTGCTAAGTAAACTCTGACTTGCTGCAGCAAGCTTTCCCAGTATCCAATGTCAAGATTGGAGCCCCCACCCCGAATTTTTGATTCTATGTTTAGATGCAGCGCCTGCAATTGGCTGTACGTTTTTCCTTTAAAAACTGTTTGAACATCTGTGTTCACTGCTGTGTTGATGCCTTCACGACGGTCACCTGCATTATGTTTGAATTAATATCACTCCATTATTTTCAATATTTCAATGTATATGATTAAAAAGCTTGCTTGGTTACCTGGTCCCTTTCCAGAGGCCTCCAGTTTTCTCAACTTGCAAATCTCATCCTCTGTAATTGTTGTCATGTCTCGCCAAAAATCAACATTTTTGCCTTGTTCCAACTCCATATACACCTAAACAAAATGTATAATACATTACTAGAGGTGGTAAAATTGTACTATTTAAACATCATTCAGGGTAGAAAAACTAAAAATTCAATTTTGCAGAGCACATGCCTTTATGTCTTCCAGCAGGTCATCCATGTCGGTAACAGTCAACCCATTGAGAAAAGTATAAGGCTCATGCATTTCCACTGCAAGATCATCATCTTCTGCACTTATATACTTTGCCAAAAGATCAATAGGTTTAGCCCGACCATCACGAATCCGAATCTTTGACCTTTAACAATTTCCAGTTTGAGAAACATTCTAAAGAATGAACAGAAACAAATCCAAAAACAATACCTTAGTTTGGCCTGCTGTAAATGAAAATTATCTTCTTGCTCTGCCCAAGTTTTGAAATGCTCTGCCTCTTTTTCTCTCTGAAGCATCTCTAGCTCTGTTTCTCTCATGGCCTTTTCTCGTTCTCTCTCTAGGCGCAGTTGTTTCACCTGTAAAAATATGCAAGGTCTAAAGAAATTTGTATCTCTAAACAGTCATGCAATAGGCATCATCTCTGTATCTACTCATTCAGTTTTGACATTAGTAAGTGATTATATAAATCAGACCTTCTGAAGTTCTCTCCGGTTCTCTTCTTGAATTAATTTATTTCTCTCTTTGAGATCTTTTTCTCCAAGGTGACCAATGCCTTTCTTGTCTAATGCCTGAGGAATAATAACAATTTAAACATAATTACCTCAAAAAAAACAAAAACAAAACAAGGCTAAACAGCCTTAAACCATACCTTTTGCCATTTAAATGTGCCCAATAAGTTGTTATCCCCAAAGGGATTGTCAGCATTGGTGTAGCCCATATACTCCTCACTCCAGCCCATCTTTTCTCTTCGTTTTTTCTCCTTGGTTTCCTTCTTGGCCAACCTCCTGGCTCGCTTTTCTTCAGGAGTTTCCAGTGCCTTGAGCATTTCTTTTTGTTTTTTCTTATTGTCTCTCTCCTTGACTGAACAGCTGGCCCTGGTGCCTGAGCTGTCAGAGGACTCTGAACTTGTGTGTTGTCTCCTTCTTTCCTTCTCTCTCCCCCGCTGTTCCCTTTCTTCACTTTTTCTTCTATGCTCTCTACTACTTTTTCTTTCACGCTCACCCTTTTGCCTGTATCTGTCAGTGCTCGCATTCCTCCCCTCTTGGGTACTGCTATCATCAGAGGAGCAGGAACGGGAAGCCATTCTTCTGTGCATTGTGGCTCTCTTCTTTTTATCAGACTCTTTCCTTCTTCCTCTTCTGGAGTCATCGGAGTCCGTACTGAAAAAAAAACCCAGAGATAAATACCTTTGCAAAACTTAAATGTCTATAATGGCTTGCTCATCTAAATGATGAACCACAGGCACTGTGAGTGGCCACCCCAACTGTGCAATAACATTAAATTGTCCATCGCCTAGTCCCAACAACAGTATGGATCAAATTGTTAATGTCCCAACCAGAATCACCCCATCATCACAATCCTGCCTAGACCTAGCTCTCACTATTAGTCCTTCATTAATTAAATTTGAAAAAACACTACCACCTGTTGGCAAATCGGATCATTCTACTGTACTTATCTCTTTGCCAGATGAATATGATCAACTCAGTAGTACAACTCTATCCACTGGATTCACTCATCATGTAACTAATTGGACCGAACTTAATGATCTCTTTAATAATGTGGACTGGAAATCTTTATTTGACAGCGATTCTATCGAGAAAGACTGGCAAAGTTTCATTACAACCTATTTCTCGCTCTTGAACGTATGCGCTAAGAAAATACCATTACCTCATACTCTCACGGAAGAAAAACTATGCCACGATAAGACCTATGCTGAACTCAAATCAAAGAAAGCAAGAGCTTGGAAAGACTATACACTTTCTAAAACATCACAGGCATACAACTTATATCGGACCGCTCGCAACAAACTTAAAGTATATCTGCAAGAAACAAAAAAGAAGGATGTTAACAAAACAATGGAACAAATGGCGCACTCGACTAATACTTCCAAAAAATGGCACAAACTGGCAAGAAAGCTTTATGTTGGTACCAAAGTAACTGATGCCATCCCCATAATAAATACACCAGATGCTTCTGCATCTTGTAACCTTACAAAAGCAACACTCCTTAACAACTATTTTACGTCTAAAGGACAGAAGCCCAACTCTAACATCCCGTTCCCACCTCTACCACTGAATACATCCAAAATTCTTTCCAACATCCATCTCAATCAAATGGACATTTCTAAGGCATTAGCCACGCTTGATCCCTCAAAATCCACTGGTCCAGATGGAATAACCAACCTGGTTTTGAGAAACTGCCATGAAGCTTTAGCACCTCCTCTGTGCATTCTATTCAAAAAGTCTATTGATACTGGAGTTATGCCCCAAGCCTGGAAAACGGCACACGTGACACCAATCTACAAAAACAAGGGTAACAGGTCAGATCCGCAAAATTATCGGCCAATTTCAATAACATCAAACGTGGGGAAAATACTAGAGTCGGTTATCAACAAAAAACTGTTGGAGTTTCTGTGTACGAACAACTTAATATCAGCTTCGCAATTTGGATTTCTACCACGTCATTCCACCACTGACCAGTTAAGCTATCTCTACCATAAATGTCTATCACTAATGGAGAAAAGATTCTCATGCTGTGCTGTTTTTCTAGACCTAGCTGCTGCATTTGATACCGTACCACATCCTGCAATAATTCAAAAGCTTCCATCATATGGAATCCGTGGTAAACTCTTCCGTTGGATTGTAAATTATCTCACTGATAGACAGCAGGCTGTTAAAATTAACAACATTCTTTCAGAAATACGTCCTGTCTACTCAGGTGTGCCTCAAGGAAGTACTCTGGCTCCCACTCTGTTTGTACTGTTCATGAATGATCTTTCACATCTGATTCCTGGTGAAATTCAGTCATCAAGCAAGCCAGGCACTGTCAACGATTGTCTGCTTTATGCTGATGACACCACACTGTTTGTGGCATCCCAACAACTCCCTCTAATGGTAGAGAAAGTAAATCAAGATCTTCTGGACATTGCCCAATGGGCTGAAACTTGGGGTATGCAATTTAACCCAAGCAAAACCAAAGCAATGTTTCTCTCCAAAATGCAAAATACAAACATTGACATTAAATTCATGGGCTGTCCAGTCGAAATGGTTAAAGAACATCTCCATTTAGGATTCTGGATTACAAACGATCTAAAATTTGACAAACAAGTCGACCACGCCTGCCGAAAGGTGGCATCTCAAATGTTCCTCCTTCGTAGACTCTCCCTCTCTGTTAAAGACAAAAATCTACTAACAAGACTGTACAAATGTTATATTCTACCTCACTTTGAGTATGCGTCACCTGTCTGGGCTGCGCTAAATGTCACACAAACTAACCGCTTGGAAAAACTCCAACGCCGAGCCATCAGGATCATACTACACTACCCCTATACACAACCAGTTACAGATGGGGATTATGAAGAACTCAAACTGGCTCCTTTAAAACATAGAAGAAACTTTGCAGTGATGTGCTATGGCTACAAGCTGTTACGTGGTTTACTCCCAAAGGCTCTCCAGTCCTTTTGTCCCATTATTAAACGAACTCCTATTCAAACACGGAATAAAACACTCGTCCACCCGGGCATAGAATTCCCCACGAGTCGAGCATTGGACCGATCTCCATTCCTATTTTTAACAAAGCTATTAAACAAATCTCCCGAGCTGTGGGACTGTCCCACCTTGGACAATTTCAAAAACAAATTATGGGACATCAAGCATAGGCTGATTTTTGATACTATGTTTTAATATTTAAGAAACCAGCCGTCAATGCCTTCGGGCACGACGTTTCTACATAAAAGTTGTATTAAAAAAAAAAAAAAAATGGTCCCAACGCACATCTGACGCCTATGTTATAGAATCAGAACAGGGTCAAAACTGAACATGTGGAGACGTTTTAGAATGACCAATTCCTTTTAAGCTGTAGAAATAGGTTGTTGCCAGTGGTTTCGCTTAAGAAAAATTATGTTGTGTATAATAGGCAAGGCAAGTTTATTTGTATAGCACAATTCATACACAAGGCAGCTCAAAGTGCTGAACAAAATAAGAAAGCATTAGAAATCATAAATAATCACAAAAATTAAAAAGAGAGATACAAATATGAAATACTTGATTATGGTTTTTGGTTGAACAGTTCAGTGACCGTTCGATGTAGATATGTTATTCGCACATTACCATACCTTCTCTACAGCAGGAACCAGTGAGGACTGATAGCAATGAGAGTCGATGAGGTTGTTATATAGACCCTGCCTTTTTCTTTTAAAAGCGGCTAAATATGATGTACACCCGATTGAAAATACCTTCTGGTTTGATACCCTAGCTTGCTCTTGTGGCCTGTAGAACGTCTAATGCCGTCTCCTTCTGAGCCACTTCTGGACTGGTCGCGGCGCTTGTGTTGAGGCCGCAGTCTCTCCGGAGAAGCGTCGGTTGAACTCCCGCTGCTGCTGGCCCTCTCATGGTCCCGTGTAGGTCGTTTGGACTCGACAGAAGGTGATCTGTTTAACTTGGATCTGTGTCTTTCGTCTCGGCTCCTGTTTCTTGAGATGGAGCGGGACCTGCGTCGTGATTTCGAACTCATCACGAACTTTCCGTCAACGTGGGTCCTTTCCGGTTTGTTGAGTGTGTCGCGTAAATAAAAAGGAGCCGAAAACAAATTGTTTGCATACATAAAAGGGCTAGAAATAACAAAGATACAAAAGCGAGAATATTGTGAGTATATTGAATATAAGTATGGCCACACACACTTGAATGTATCGATTCAATGATTTACGTTCAGGCAGAACTAGAAGTCCTACTTTGGTATTATTGTGTAGTTTTGTCGCAGGGAATGACGTCAACAAACTGGTTTCTGTTTTAAAGAAAATACAATACATTGTACAAATACATTAAATACAACAATTAAAAGGGTTTATAGTTTGTACTCTTGTTTCTTTTTATTGAAAGTTATTTTTATTTAAACATTTGAAATTAATTAAAAATAATCGTAATTGTGTACACAGACGATTTAATAAACTTATTCAAGAAATTATTACTATCATTATTTTACATATTACCGCACACTGTTGCGGTAAATGTTCTATATGTTGTCGTTTTCTGTTTGGACTACAAGTCCCATCACTGTAGAGGTGTTACTTGATAGAAGAGACTCCTTTCAGCAAAAGAGCTTTATTTCTTCCAGTGTCTTGGACGGTACCGCTTCCCAGTGTGGTTAGTTTGATTAGTGGTTGGTTACATAACGTTCTTTAATAGAATACTTTATGCTGATGCTGGACTCTTCCAGTAGTTATTTCGTCTAAGCACAGCTGGTGCTAGCTTAGCCAGCAGCTACTTGTAGATTTGTGTCTCTCTCCGCGGCTTACTCCTCTCTGCAGGTGAGCCAACATCATATTAATACTTTAGTGTCCTGATAAAGGTCTTTGGAAAATAAGACATCCCGTGTTAATACGTGGTTGGCTGATACTGACCAGACCACTGCACGGTGTTTTTGTGTTCGTTGTGAAGTTGGCCTATTTGTGCTTGGCATTAAGCATTGTCTCTGTTGTCAGGCTACACGTTTACACTCAACCCGCGTAAATAAACTTCTCAGTTGCTGAATTTGGATCATCTTGAAAAGTTCCGTGCTCACTATGGCGCAACACGACCCCTCTCGTGTAGCCAGCTCACAAAAAGCACTAATGCTGGAAATGAAGAGCCTCCAAGAAGAGCCCGTGGAAGGATTCAAAATAACGTTGGTGGATGAAGCAGATTTGTATAACTGGGAAGTTGCTATTTTTGGACCCCCCAACACACATTATGAAGGGGGCTATTTCAAGGTAATGTATCTGAAATGTGTTGTCACTTATCACTGTAAAATACTTTTTGTTTTTTACTAAACTTTGTAAATCAAAAATAAGCATTTAGGTTTCACAGCATTTTTATATGTGTTACCAGTCTTATGAACGTTCAATGATTTGATTAGAAACCGTTACGTGGGTTTGAAACCTGTACTGTCTCCCAGGCTCGGATCAAGTTCCCAATAGATTACCCATACTCTCCACCTGCCTTTCGTTTCCTCACAAAGATGTGGCACCCAAATATTTATGAGGTGAAGTGTCACATTCCCACTTTGTATTAGTAATGCAAATCCACCTCTATAATTCTTTATCTCTAATGTAACTTTTTATCAGAATGGAGATGTATGTATCTCTATATTACACCCTCCAGTAGATGACCCACAGAGTGGAGAACTTCCGTCTGAAAGATGGAATCCAACTCAGAATGTCAGGTTTGTTCACTTTTAAAAGAATTACATAATTACGCAATGTATAATTCCATCATTATCCATATCTTCATTTTTTTGTAGAACCATTTTGCTCAGTGTGATCTCGCTTCTAAATGAGCCTAACACTTTCTCACCGGCCAATGTGGATGCCTCTGTGATGTATCGCAAATGGAGGGATAGTAAAGGCAAAGATCGTGAATATGTAGAGATAATCCGGTATATCACACATCACCACAGAAACTGTCATTTGTTTTTCTCTCTTTGATGGATCACAATCGTGACTTTTTGTCTCTCAGGAAACAAGTCTTGGCTACCAAGGCCGAAGCAGAGCGCGATGGTGTTAAGGTACCTACCACGTTGGCAGAATATTGTGTTCGCACACGGGCTCCAGCTCCTGACGAAGGCTCTGACCTCTTTTATGACTATTACTATGATGATGACGATGTGGATGCTGAAGGCGACTGCTGCTATGATGATGATGACTCGGGCAATGAGGAGTCTTGACATGTTTTGCCTTGCCCAAAAACAGATGTTGTAGGTTCTGAACCAGGAATGGTTTGAAACCTTTTATTTTTAAAGAGCTGTTTTTTCTCAGCCTCAGGGCAGAGGAAGAAGTTGGTGCACCTTTTATAAAATGGGTCAGTGTGGCAAGATTTGCACCAGCACACGTCTTTACCTTGTTCACACGTTCCCACTATCACCTAACATGTAATCAATTTATTTACAGTATATGTGGATCAAACCACTCTTTAAGATCATATTTTGCACTGGTGCAAGCCCACTTTAACCACCTTTTTACTTTGCAAACCTTAGTTTAATTCAGTGTCTTTGACCGTGTGTCTCTGGACAAAAGTTTAACTGTTAAAAGACCATTTGGCAAATGACTTGCTTATCTGATGGATAGAACATGAGCCAAGTTTCACCTGAGGACAGTGTTAACACTTTTACGTGCATGCTGTATCATTATGGAAGCTGTCTTAATCATGTTACAGTAGGACTGTTCACTTGCTTCACTTAAGGAAAGTTGGGGGTAAAATGCTTAAAACTCCCAAGCAGTGTGCAGATGACAGACTCTGTGGAGTTAGGTTAGCATAAAATTGATTCTTGCTATATGTGTGTGTGTGTGTGTGTGGGCATATCTGTTCTGGTCAATGATAATGTCCTTTTGAATGCTCATACAGAAGGTTTAAATTGTCAATGATGGCCTATGTGGGTCATCGTTTTTTGAGCCAGAGGCAACATAGACATACTTTCTATCAGGTTTATTAAACAGAGACCTGAAGGAGCCAAAGAAGTTTTTTTCTTTTTTTCTTTTTACTAGCTGCTCCTTTCACTTGTAGCACCCCATATTTGTTCAGACTTCACACCTGCTGTCTGTTTAAAACCTTTAGATTGTATTATGAGAATGAATACGCAAGTGGTCATCTAACAATTCCACAAAGTCGACCGATTTTTTTTCTTTTTTTAAAATCAATACATTTATGTCGCAATATTCATCACTAAAGGTGCATCATGTATGTTTTCTGGTGGCGTGGCTTGTCTCATGACAATCCTATTGCCTTGTCAGGAATGTCCCACTGTATGTAATTATTATGTACTTATTGTTCTTTTTAATTGTTTTACTTCTGAAAAAGTGTCAAATATTCCAAATGAAAACAGACCACCAATAATTTGGGTTAGCAGGTTTGGGCAAATCAAATTTAGTACCATTTTAATTAATGCCGTTTGTGAATATTTTAAGCCCATTATTGGCATTCTTCAATCTTTTAGTTTAGATGGTTATTTTAGATTTTTGTTTTTTTTTTTTCCTGGATTGCCGCTTAAGTTCAATATATGTGGGCAATACCATTTTCTGTATGCACAGAAGTTGACAGGATTTGTCCTGGGAATAAAATAAAATAAAAAAAATGGCAGAATACATTATTTCAATTGTATCTTATAAGAGTCCAATTTAATACTAGTCTCTTGAATGTAAATGTATTTTTATCAATCTTAATTTGAAATTTTGAATGCCCTTGTAACTACATTTTGCACCTTTTAATCAGATTTAAATACATTAATTCTCAGGATGCTTTTAAAAAAATATCCCATCTGAATAGACGTGTTATTTCATTACTCAATAACAATACATGTAGCGATGCCATCTTACTTTGTAGTTTTGCTTTTCTTTAGCATCTATTATTGTTACTTTTTATTCTGTAATATTTAAGAGGTAAATAAAGACATTCAGACATATGGAGTGGTGCTTATGTACATTTTAAGAGAAAGGGGAACTACCAAAAATGGGGTTGTCAAAGTCGGTAGTAACGTTTCTCCAAGTAGATGAGGGTTAGGGCAAAGTCAGGAACTGATCCCATATTTGTGAACTTAAATTTCCTTATTATTCCATCATTACCACAGTAAGGATGGCCCCGTCCACTGTCCCGCGGATAACATTGAGATATGATAAGTTAGTTATCTACAGTAGGGATGTTTGCAGCGCACGTAATAAACAAGAGCACTCAACCAAGTTGAATACATAAAACAATAAAAATGAAATATGATCGTCGCTGCACACGCTTACAGTAGCAACAATTTTGTTCAGTGAAATGACATGGGCATCAATTTATGAGGCCAGGAATTGTCCTATTTTTTGCAGTTCGGATCATACGACCTGTATAAAAATGTTATTAGATCCATTCCAAAGTCCTTACAAATCAAGAGAACAGGCAAAACGCCTGTTTCTTGATTTGGAAGGACTTTGGGAGTTAGGGAAAAGCAAGTAGTGACTTTGGATGCAAGACGCCTTTTCTCCCCTTGCACCCTGTCCCTTCCTTTGATTGCATTTGAGAATTAACCAAGTAGAAGGGACGAGGAAAGACATTTGGGACGCAGCCTGTCGCTCTGTTATGACGTCATAAAACTGCGAGGTTTGTGAAATTTCTTTTGTATTAAAACTACTACAGAGAAAAAAACATAGCAAAAGCCACACACTTTTCACTATACAATTCACCTTCCCAGAATGTCCGTAAATTATGCTGCCGGATTATCGCCCTACGCGGATAAAGGTGTATGCGGACTTCCAGAGGTAAAACAAAGCTCTCTGCCTCGGCTTCGTGATAACCATGTAGCAGATAACATGAACCATGGTTGTTTTATTCATTATCTGTCAGTCGGCATTGCAAGTTAGTAACAGTAATGTTTACATTGTGTGCTTTTATGATAAAAGTAAGGGATTGTTTTTGTTTTTTAGACTACGTGTCCCTAATATTTTGTTGTGTTTTTGGCAGTCATTTGATGGTCCCGAGGAGCTGGATGCCAAAGTAGAAACCCTGGCTAAAATGATTAAAGAATCCACATTTTTGGTTGTTCACTCTGGGGCAGGCATTAGTACCTCTGCCGGAATTCCTGACTTCAGGTATTAAAAGCAAAAACCATCTGAATCATTCTTTATTGTGTTTAAAGGGGCAGTGTCATACATCACTGTCATACTGGTTTAATGCAATCATAGAATTACAATCAGAGCTGTGCTTGTAATTATTGATAATTTTGGAACATAGATTATTATTTCAAAAATTGTTTGCATGGTGATAGGCCAATACAAATGGGATTATTTTATAAAGATTAGATAAAAACGAAACCTTGAACATCTTATAAACGATTTGTAACTTAACTGGTTGATTTAATTTTATTCTTCAGTAATTACAGCTCTGTTAGTAGTTACACAACTTAATCACAAGCATGATTAATTGTCAGTGTTGTTCAACCATTTTTGACAACTATTCCAATAATTGATTAGCAATATACCGGTAAATTTTTTACAGCCCTAATTCAAAGTGCACACACACACACACACCATAAAAGCGCTATGTAAAACTAATGCATTATTATCAAAGCAAAGTGTTTTGTGTTTTTTTTAATTTATTTGTTATAAAGAGGCATACAATTTCAAATGAGCTAAAAATCTCTTGCCATCAATGCTTGGAATTCAATAATAAATGGGAACATTTTGAGGTCTTCCAAAATTGTAAAGCCTTGCCCTTGGTCCCCACTTGGCACTCCTTATGTGACCAGAGTTCTAAATTGGTTTACCCATACCTTTTTTCTTTGTATTCAGCAGTAATTTCACTGTGTCAATTATGTAATTTACATGATGACTTTTTTGAATTTCAGGGGTCCGAAAGGGGTCTGGACTCTGGAAGAAAAAGGTGAAATGCCACATTTTGACACAACATTTGAAGATGCCCGTCCTACGTTCACCCACATGGCCCTGCTGGGTCTGCACAGGGCTGGCTATCTCAAATATTTAATCAGCCAAAATGTAGATGGGCTCCATGTTCGATCTGGTTTTCCAAGGTACCATTTACCTTTGTAATGTTACTTTTTCCATGTGATTGGCCTCATCTTTTAGAGTATTTCAGAAAAAATATACGCTTGGAAGTATATTTTTGAATTATTTGTACCTAAATTGAGCTTTGTTGTGTGCTTTAGAGATCATTTGTCAGAACTTCATGGAAACATGTTCACTGAAGAATGTGAAAAGTGTGGCAGGTATGTATTAAATAAGAATATGAAAAGTGTGGTATGTAATTAATACAAGTAAATTCAGTTATTGAAATAGTTGTCTACTTTAGTAAATGATGAATCTGATTTTGTACCATACCTGGATCAAAACATGCAAAGTGGTTTGATGGCTCAGACAGGGCTAGAATGACCAATTTTGTTACATCCAATCTCTTTCTGTGATGTTCTCTTAAGGCATAGTTTTGGTCAAATTAATAAACTATTAATAATCCAGTATTTACAAACATAGTAATACTATGTTATTTTCTGGAGAGAGCAGTTGTGAGAAGTGTTGGAGAGTGTGTGCGCAGGTTCGTGTTAAGCTCTTTGGACCTAACTTTGAATAATTTTGGATAGGCAGTTTGTGAGGGAGAAGGTGATCGGAATAATGGGTCTTAAGCCAACAGGCCGTTACTGTGAATTTGTTCGCTCAAGAGGACTCCGAGCCTGCAGGTAAAGCCTTCTTAAAAATCTAAACTATAACAACTACAAGATTGAAATTTAAACATATGGTGAACAGGGGGAAGCTGATCAGCACCATCCTGGATTGGGAGGATGCTCTTCCAGACGCAGACTTGAATAAAGCGGAAGATGCCAGCAGGTAATCCAATCCCTCTCTTGTTACAACATTTAGGGCTTCATTTACAGTGGGGCAAAAAAGTATTTAGTCAGCCACCGATTGTGCAAGTTCTCCCACTTAAAATAATGACAGAGGTCTGTAATTTTCATCATAGGTACACTTCAACTGTGAGAGACAGAATGTGAAAAAAAAATCCAGGATTTCACATTGTAGGATTTTTAAAGAATTTATTTGTAAATTATGGTGGAACATAAGTATTTGGTCACTTCAAAAAAGGAGGATCTCTGGCTCTCACAGACCTGTAACTTCTTCTTTAAGAAGCTCTTCTGTCCTCCACTCGTTACCTGTATTAATGGCACCTGTTTGAACTCGTTATCTGTATAAAAGACACCTGTCCACAGCCTCAAACAGTCAGACTCCAAACTCCACTATGGCCAAGACCAAAGAGCTGTCGAAGGACACCAGGAAAAGAATTGTAGACCTGCACCAGACTGGGAAGAGTGAATCTACAATACATAGTTCCCACATGACGTCACTACATACGGGGATTTGCCGACCCGGCGCCATTTGTGTTGGCATTCCGTGGGCAAAACAATAGAAAAAGAAGCTGAAACGTGTTAATGTCGTGATAAAGTTGAAAATGGTCATCTCCTGCTGGGTCAATGGATGTTCTAATCGTGCCGGAGGTTCCGTTAAACTTGGATTTTACAGTATACCCATCATTAGACTTCATGAATGTGAGAAGACTAAGCTTTTGTCAGAACAACCACGGAGGTTATGGCTTGCGAAGATAAACAGGCAAGAAACTCCCTCAAAACACGCAAGAATATGCTCGGAGCACTTTGTGTCAGGTGCGTATCGTATCTTATGTGTGTTGACAGACGTAATTTACTCAGTACTAACTTGTGTATGCTGATACCTGGTAACTTGAGAGTTTCATTATTTAGATTACTTTATTATGAGGAGGATCGGTGTCGCGTCCGAGGCTCTCGAGGGCAACGTAAATGTATTAAATAGATAATAATAGTTCTATGGTGGGCTAAAACAATGTTCACAAACAGCATTGCTTCTGTAAAAAGATCTGTGTCATAAAATAAACTGCTCTTTACGCCTGGAAAAATCAGTTGCCCACCATTCACCAAAACATACGGTCAAAAACGCGGAAATAAACAATAACAGCAATCCAGAGTGTCCGTGTGGCATTAGCATTAATTAAATTAATTGTTAATATAATTAAAATAATTAAATGGAGCTCCAACTGGTATTAAATCTAAAGTTTTTGAGAAATGTTTGCATTGCTTGTTAATTTTTGCTGCATAATTTGATCAAATATGTAAAACATGTCCGTAGCACGTTAAACTGTGGTGCCATTGTATTAATATACAATTATTTGCTCAAAAGTTGCCCTTTTTTCCAATTTGCGTTTGAATATCTACATTTATTCTCATTCTTCTGTTTAATGGAATGCACAAACACAGCAGCGTGCCATCAAAGATGGCGTCTCCGAGGAGGTCATGTGACATTCATTGGTCTGTGGGAACTATGTATAGGCAAGCAGCTTGGTGTGAACAAATCAACTGTGGGAGCAATTATCAGAAAATGGAAGACATACAAGACCACTGATAATCTCCCTCAATCTGGGGCTCCACGCAAGATCTCATCCCGTGGGGTCAAAATGATCATGAGAACGGTGATCAAATATCCCAGAACCACATGGGGGGACCTGGTGAATGACCTGCAGAGAGCTGGGACCAAAGTAACAAAGGTTACCATCAGAAACACACTACGACGACAGGGAATCAAACCCTGCAGTGCCAGACGTGTCCCCCTGCTGAAGCCAGTGCATGTCCAGGCCCGTCTGAAGTTTGCCAGAGAGCACATGGATGATACACCAGAGGATTGGGAGAATGTCATGTGGTCAGATGAAACCAAAGTAGAACTGTTTAGTATAAACTCAACTCGTCGTGTTTGGAGGAAGAAGAATACTGAGTTGCATCCCAAGAACACCATACATGAAGCATGGGGGTGGAAACGTCATGCTTTGGGGCTGTTTTTCTGCTAAGGGGACAGGACGACTGATCTGTGTTAAGGAAAGAATGAATGGGGCCATGTATTGTGAGATTTTGAGCCAAAACCTCCTTCCATCAGTGAGAGCTTTGAAGATGAAACGTCGCTGGGTCTTCCAGCATGACAATGATCCCAAACACATCGCCCGGGCAACGAAGGAGTGGCTCCATTTGAAAGTCCTGGAGTGGCCTAGCCAGTCCCGGATTTTTTTTCACATTCTGTCTCTCACAGTTGAAGTGTACCTATGATGAAAATTACAGACCTCTGTCATTATTTTAAGTGGGAGAACTTGCACAATCGGTGGCTGACTAAATACTTTTTTGCCCCCCCTGTATCAAGCATGGTCAGGTGAAACCTGAAGTACTGTTTATCAGCATTTTCTTCTCACAAAACCTGAAAAACCACTATTAAATTAAGTGTAAATTATGTGTGGGAGGGAAGATTTATCCAAAAAGCATTTTTATAATAGAGGTTAGTACAAAGGAAAAAGCTCAAGATCAAAATTGTGACTTTTTTTCTGAACTTCAGAACTGATCTATGAAACCAGTGCTGCACCAAACCTTTGTTCAAATAATCGCAAAGGCACATATAAAGTGGTCACATTGTTTTTGCACTTGCAATAGTCTTTACTCTAGAACACATAAATACCCAATTCAAATACACATCAAATTGTAAAACCAGATGAAAATGGCAAGAATAAATATTGCATTTGCACTATATTCATTCTTTCAAAATACAAAAAAAGGAAACAAATTAAAGAAAGACAAAGCAGGTGTATGCAATTTATTCAAAACAAATTTAAATTCAAGCTAAAATGTGTGTTCAAAATGTGGATTGTCATTTTCTATCAGGCTCATGCACATTTTTTAATCTGATTTTTGAACTGCATAAACACATCCTGAGGTTATGACTAAAATTCCCAAAAATCTCTCAAAAGTCTGAGCTGCAGAAAGGAGGTCAGTCAAATGAAGTTTGTTCTGATGCCGACAGCAGCTCAATAACCATCCGTCGACATCAACAACAGAAGTACTTTAAGAACAAAGCCCGCATCTCCTTCAACTTTGCAGGAGAGCCCCACCAAAACACAGTGAAAATTGAAAGAACATTTATGAAATTTTTTTATGATAAAAATTGTAACCTCCCAACATGACTGGCAAAGACAATGAGATCTACCGGATGTGTTAAATCTGAGGACATATAGTTCTATTTTTTTCCTTCAATAGGACCACCTGCTGGCACATAGCCCGGGTGGTAAGGACAACGCTGAACTTCATAATGACACCAGCGTTTCCACAAGGCACACTCAAACAAGCAGTTTTCAGACATTGGTATGCTTTCTTGAGCTGTTTATTAAATATAACCTAGATATAAAAGTAAACTAATATGAGGCTGGTTTGAAATACAAGTTGCCTCTTTAGAGCAATGAGGGAACTCGCACTTGGACCGACAATCGAGGAGGAGAGAAATGTCTTACTCAATCATTGTATGTATTTAGTGCATTAACATATTGTAATATTAAATAAAAACATAATGGCTTCTGAAAGTGAAATAAGAACTCAACAAACACAAGTATGTTTAAGATTTGATGAAAATGTTGTGCAGACGGGCTGACTTGGCACTGACTCTTGGTACGTCGATGCAAATTAAACCTAGTGGGGATCTTCCTCTTCTCACCAAGCGCAAAGGTGGTAAACTCGTCATTGTCAACCTGCAGCCTACCAAGCATGTGAGTTGCTTTATATAAATGAATCAAACTGAAATGTTGCTTTTACTGTGTTGTATTGTTTTGATTATCAGTTCAGCATTTTTAGCAATTCAGCATTTACCTTCTCCCACAGGACAAGCATGCACACCTGCGCATCAACGGCTATGTGGATGAAGTTATGAAACGACTCATGGAGCTACTCGGCGTTGCTATCCCAAAGTGGGACGGGCCAACGGTGTGTGAGATTTCAGCCGCTACGGAACCCAAAAGGGAGGTCAAGCCAGAAACGGACGCTGTTCCAGACACAGAGAAAAAGGGAACAGAAAAAAAGATCAAACGTGAACGAAAAAGATCGGCCGCTGTCCTAACGAAAGGTGACGATAAGAACAGCAGTGTGTCCATGAAAAGGGAGCGAGACCCGTCCCCAGGGAAAAACTAGTGACCCCAGAGGTTTTTAACTTCAATTATCAAAGAAGACCTGTCTCTTACGCCATGGATCTGAGGAACAAACATACCACGTTTCTTAATTGTTTAAAGGGGGAAAAAAGATGGTTCTTGGTTGAACATTGCAAATACACGTTGCTGATTTTAGACAATAAACCGCACAACTTTGGAGTTCAACTGCCTCACTGTTCCAGACGTATTTCCATTATATTTTCCCAGTTATCCGCCTCGCACCTGCTGCAGTGGTGCTACAATCTCAGCATGGATAACTTTGTGCTGTTAATAAGTCTGTAGATAATATCAACTACCTACAGGTACAGTGGATTGGAGACATAGGTTTGTATAGTCGCTGTCTTTAGTAGTTGATACCAAGTTTTCTTCTTTTTTTTTTTTTTTTTACAGAATAAATACTTTATATATTTTCTTATTTTGTGTTTTCTCAACAGTCTCAGTAGAAGTCTAAGTTATGACAGACTAAAGTCTTCTTTCCTATAAACAAATCCTTAATTTAAGCTAAAGGTACCATTATATGATATTTTCATTTAACCCTAACCCAATACAGACCTGATTGGCCGACACAATGTGGGCATTTACAAATCTCAAGTCCTCAAAGTTTAAAGTGCACTTTTTTTCTTAATTGAAAACACAATGGACATGATGTCCACAATATTTATCTAGCCATCATAATGATGGCTCTACAGCTGATTATCCAATCAGCAAGCTGAGATCACATAATGTGACTTTTGTTAGGTTGCCAGTTCTTTGTTGTAATCTGGCTGTTTTTACATTTATTTTCAGGGTTATTATATATATAATGTTTAAAACTTCCTATGTGCTCCAAGGTGACTAACATTGCTCTTCTCAAATGTTAGTGCAGTTTAGTTAATCAACCAGCACGCTCTATATTTACTTGAAATACTCTCCCATGAATTATATTTATTGGAATAGCGCAAAGAAAGAAGCAGGTGGGAGACAGTTTTATTTATGTTGTTAGCTTGTTTAGTTTTGAAATGCCCCTGGTGAGAGAAATACATAATGTCCTGTTGTGTGACTGTGTTATACTGCCTCCCAGTGGTCAGTTTATGTACAACTCCTTTTCTAAAAAAAAAAAAAAAGACAAGGAACAGACCAACGCAGTGAATGGATAGACACGTATTTGTGAACATCTCAATTATGGAGTAAAAGATTTTTGAGTCAATGGTTCACACCCGTCTCATATATTATAATAAATTAAATATTGTAGTATCAGCACTAAACTGATTATTAAAGCCTGTAATTATTTATTTACAAAATGTGAATAAACAACATGGCCATAGGTTCAGATTGTAGCTGTAACTAAAACGGAGCACAAACTCTCAAGTGAACCAAACAATCTTTATTTATATACCGCCTTTTCACTGCACATCGGAGTCTCAAAGCGGTTTACAATTGTTATTTTTGGGCACTTGGCTCTCACTCCACACAGAGATGGGAGCGGGGCCAGTACAGGAGGCATATGCCAGAACTATTGTACATATTTTTAGTGGTAGGGGAAACCGGAGTACCCGGAGGAAACCTACGCAGACACGGGGAGACGGGCAAACTCCACTCAGAAAGGCCCTGGTCCGACCGGGATTCGAACCCAGGACCGTCTTGCTGAGAGGTGAGAGTGCTATCCACTCAGCCACCGTGCCGCCCAAAGTGAACATTTCCAATCTTGTTTTCTGGCTGGGATGATACCTGACAAGCTATAGCTTTCTGCTGCTTACAAAGACCCTAAACTGGGCCTTGGATGGGAGACCTCTGGGAACCCCAGGTCCCACAGTGGCAGAGGCAACCAAAGACTTGACTCACATTGCCTAGTATGAGTGAGGTGTGAGAAGATTGATGATCATCTGATGATACAGGATTAGAGATTTGTTTATAGAATGCCCCCAATGACACTGTAATGAAAGATCTTCATCAAAACATTGTTGAAATATGATCAAAAACTTTCTGTTTGCTTTGTGGTACATGCAGCTAGACATTCAGATATATTAACATGTGAGGAAAAAGGAATAGCATTGTTGTAAAACATCATAATAACACATTAGGCCAACACATTTATATGAATGGGTTTCCTGTGGCGTCACAAATGGAAACAAAGATCATTTAGAGTATCTGAAAAAGTTGAATTGAATCATTCAAACTCCCACATTGATATTGAACATTCTCAGCTGAGTCATTTCCCTTAAAAAAAATAAAAATTGTACAGACAATAATGAAATATGAATAGAATCAAATTGACCAGGACCCAAGCAAAAAATACTACAAACCACACAATAATACAGAAACAAGCCAGAAACCGCTGCTGTCTCTAATCTCAGTTCTTCTATTTAAAATATAAACCTTGATGGATGTGAGCTAAATGCCATCTTGGCCCAGTGACCTGATGATGTAATTACAGCGCATAAAAGGAGCGAGTGATATTTGCTTATCAATAATTCTGAACTGATTATAGAAGGGCAAAAATGTGTCTTTTGTACCGAGACCAGTTGTGTGAACTGATAAAAGCTGCAAAAATATAGAAACGGTATATGTCCTTTCAATATGTTTTATCTCACAAAACAGTTTGTTGCATTCTGAAGCACCACATACAGCACCACATACAGACAACAATAAATGCAACCGTACACTAGAGCCAAGAGGCCACTATGTAATGGGACCTTTTTGTGTTTTCTGCCAAAATAACAACATCCTTCTCTTATCCATAATGCATTTCTGATTCAAGTGATTGCACGTGTGAGATTGAGTTTTCTTAGCTCTCTACTTTGACTGATTGTCCAACGTTCATGGTTGGATTTGTAGACCTCAGATTGGGTGCTTTGATATAGATGAGGTAAGGAATTATGCAGACTTCAAAGGCAGCGTTTTTCATAAAATATGCATTCTAAAGCGAGATTGAAACTTCACATGGATCTTCTTTTTTCACAGAAATTGAAATTCTGCATTTTTTCTGCTGAATCATTGCTGCAGGTACTGGTATGTGTTGGCCACCTGGGAAATATTTTTGTCCCATCATATCAAACAGATATTTATCATTTTACAGTATGACAACTCAAAAAATAATTTCTGCATAGAGCACAATAAAAAAAATGATGAAAGGCTTTGCCAAGTCCCACAAGTTATTATGAGATATGATTATTTGGAACATGAAAAGATAACCCAGAAATCATGCTTCTGAGTGGAGGTTTTTTGTCAATTCTTATTAGTCTGGGAAATGAACAGCCTCATACAGTTTTTAAAACATAACAATAACTGAAGAATTGGGGGCTCAGGTGGTTGAGCGTTGGTTCTTTGGGCCTGATGGTTGTAGGTTCGGCTCCCCCCACAAGATCGGCTCCATCCACACCCACTGATGTCTGCTGTTGTTGTGTCTTTGGGCAAGACACTTAATCCCACTCTGCCTGTAGCCCAGAGCTGCTCTGCTCCTTTGAACTCATCACCTACAGTAGGATCAGTGATGGTCTCCCCCAGAAATGGATAAAGGAGATGAAAGTAGCAGGTTGGATGGTTTCGCTGAAACCTGTTGTGTGATAATGTCCATGCCCTCACAGATCCATGTGGTTGTGTGTGTAGTCCACTATAGGTCTGGTGCGGCCCCCTCCACTCTCCTGCCCCTCAGAGCACGGGTCAGAATTGTGCGCACAGAGCGGGACACTCGCAGTAGCATGTTCTTGAGGCCGGCGCGGTACTCTTTGCGGATGAGGCAGTAGAGCACTGGGTTGAGGCAGCTGTTGGTATGAGCCAGACACACGGTCAAGGGAAAAGCATAGGCTTGTACGTTGTAGAAGGCCTTACTGAATGGAACTAAATCAAACTTAATGAGCACGCCCCAGAGCGTGAGTGCCTGGTTGGGAAGCCAACAGATGAAAAAGGACAGCACCACGATGGTCACAGAGCGAGTGACTTTGGAGCGCCTGCGGTGTCGCCCCATCTCACTCTCAGTCTTTTCCATCACATTCTCATTTACCACACTGGCCACAACACGCCGATTCAGGACAAATCGTAGTAGAAGAAGGTAACACACACTGATGATGGTCAAGGGAACTACAAATCCCAATAGTACCTTTTGTGTCTGATAGAGTCCAAGCAAGACCTGCGGGTCCCACTGTCCTGAGTCGGAGAAACGAACCAAGCACAGTTCGTCTTCAGCAGACACCTGTGAATACAAGGGCCAAAATTTTCTCAATACAGAAGTCTAAAGAAGTCATTAGTGCAGTGGAATCATGTCAACAATCCTAAGAAAATGTGCCACAGTTAGGCAGAGAATTGGCTGGTTTGCTTTGGCTTTAAGCACTACACAAGGGAAGAGAGTTTGATGAACTAATCTACAGGTTTATTCCCCAGAGAAAGTGGAGAGCCTTTAGACCCTTTAGTGGATAACCTTTACTTTTACCTGCCAGGTAAATATTTATTATTATTATTAATATTGATGATAATAATAAAGATATAGTTGCTCATCTGCACTATTATTTGGCTATTTTAGGGGGACTGACTGTTTTCAATGCAGTCAACAGTTCCAACAGTGCCTTTTCTGATTATTAGACAATCAAAAACATCAAAGCAGTTTTATTAATGTGTTCATAGCATTTTGTTTCAATATGTCTACCTGTACTGTTGTTGAGTAGAGAGCATGGGGTAGAGTGGCCACCACTGACACCACCCAAATGGCCAAACTGGCCCATTTTGCACGAGCTTTGGAAATCCGGGGACTCTCCATCTTCAAAGAGGTGACGAGAGAATGATAGCGTGTCATACTCATGGCGGTCAGAAAGAAAACACTTGCATACATGTTGAGTGTAGTCACTGAGCTCACTATCTTACGCATAACTCTGCCAAAGGGCCAGCGGAAGTCCAGCACTGTATCCACAGCCCAGAACGGAAGAGTGAGTACAAACTGGAGGTCTGTGAGAGCCAGGCTCATCACAAAGCTGTCAATGGAGGAGTGATGGTGTCCACGGCGACGAGAGTGGAGCAAGAATAGGGCCAGAAGGTTTCCCACCAGCCCCAGCACGCACACCACCAGGTACACCAAGGAAATGAGGACACGCACCTGTCACAGATGACAACGTCACACTCAGTATGCCCCAATTTCCATGGGAATAAGACTAACACTGACGTTGCTTAGGCTAATGGTGATTGACTTTTTCTTTTCTTCACATGTAGAACAACAGAACAAACACAAATGTACAGTGAACATAGGTCAGGTCCTCTGACTCAATATACAACTGTAGCCTATGAACTTTACACGGTAGCCTATTCTAGCTATGTTAAAAACGTATTCTTTTTTGTCATTCGTGTAAAATAAAGGAGAAGTGCCCAAACTAGGTGTGAATGTTCCTTACCGCAAGGTTGGCGCTGTCTCCATGAAGATCCACCGTGGATTCCTTCGAAAGTATCTGGAGCCAGCAGTGCAGCGACAGGTTGAGTGTGCCCAGGTTGTGCGCCACGTCTCCGGGGTTGAGTTTGGAGATGTCACCTTCATCCTCATCTCCTCCACACGCACTGTAGTCTGCAGACGACACGGACCCGCTGCTGTTCTGCATTCTCTACAAATAAGTTGAGCCACTTATAAAATATCAAACCACTTGCATTATTGTTGTCCAGTTACAGTGGCGTGATGCCAAAAGCACACTTGAAAAATATATAAATATTATTTACTGCAGAAATTATCTCCGTTAGATGACTTCGTTATCAGTGTCTGGTTCCCAGAATTGCGGTAGTCCCCGATCCGTCAGACGCTTCTGGGTTTTAAAGAGTCTCTCTTTCCGCGATGCGCGTCATGAGAGACGCGAGATGCATGAAACGCATGCGTTTAATATGTACAGTCTATGTTCAGAATCCGTGTCTACGGTTCAGAGCCGCAAGAGACAGGGCAGAAAACAAGGTTCACAAAAGATATCGAAATCTAAATTTGAATTGTCAAACACATATGAAAACTCCAAACACAAGTGAACAAATACTGTTATCACTAGTGTACATTCCATCTGTTGGCTAATTATTCATATTACTAATGTATTTTTTATGCTAAATGTTAAAGAACTAATTCTGAGAAACACAGACAAATGAAATGCGCAGTACACTCTACACTCCACTCAGATTTAGTCGAAAGACATTAGTTAATGTAACGTTTGCCACATAAAACTTTTTTGTTTGTAAGCGTGCACATATGTGTTTTCTTGCATATTTTTATTACTCACATTTGTTTTTTATTTCGTTTTGTGAGACTACATTTTCACCCGCTTCCATCAGAATGCAGCACTACTGTAAACTACCTTTTACAATAATAAAAAAAACAAAAAACAAGAAAAGCTCTTTAGATATGTGACTGTAGAAAAGAACACATTCAAAACTTGGTTCAACAATAATAAACATTCACTAAAAATGTCCAAGATGATGTTATTGTAGAAATATTAAAATTAATATACCGGTGAAGATAATCATGCATCATACACCATTTGAGAAAGTCAAACAAAGTGTTTTTAGGGAGATATGAAAAATGAACACCAGAACTGTATCGTTCATTGGTAATGTCATATTAATCATATTGTCATATTTAATCACTATTAAAAACAGTAATGGCATGGAGGTGAAGAGGTTTTCAGCAAATATTAGTAAACACATACTATAAGTCTGTAAATGTTAAAATATTCACCAAAAAGTTCAGAGAGATTAACCGAATACTAACGTTTTCACATTATTTAATTGAAACAGTCATCCTGACAGAACATCTTCAAAGTGGTTTCACAAAAGACTGACCTCTTCAAAAGAAGCAGCGTTTGAAGACAATCCTCAACTAAACTTGAAGGGAAGACGGTCTCATTGTGACTCATGACTATTCTACTTTATTTCACATCATTCAAATTGACCAAAGTATTGTATTTATTTACTCACATTTCATACTTGCAAAAAATAAACAAACATCAATTTACAACACAAAAAGTCTCTTTCACATCATAAGCAAGGGCCGTGTTAACTCCAGACATGGAGTTACCCCAGGGTCAGCTCGAGGGATGTTCAGAAATGTAAACAGAATTCTCATTTGGATGCTGCTCTCCAGCGCTGACTCCATGGTGGGTGGTAATGCAGCAGGGTGGGGCACCGTGAGCTCACGCTTTGTCCTGGTGTCTGTGATCCACTGTGGGCGTTTCTGCCCAGGGCCCTAGCCTCTCCATCCCGCTGCGCATCATCTCCACTCCCCTCAGGGCAGCCAGCAGAGGCCCATTGGGGCGGTCCACTTCTGGGATGGACTGCAGAGAACGTGACAGCACTGTGCAAAGGAGACAGAGTGTATGAGTGTGTGTTTGATGGAATTTGAGTGTGTGTGTGTGTGTGTGTGTGTGTGTGTGTGTGCGTGCTCGTGTTTGTGTTTGTCTGGGGACCTGGTGTCTCTGTGAAGTCTCCCTGGCTGACTTGGCTTGAAGGCTCTGGCTGCAGATTTGAGGAAATGATGAGGGTGAAGGACAGAAGCAGAACCTGTTCATGAAAGGAGAGGACGCACAAATGGGTCAGTGGCAGAAGGCGAGAGGAAAAGCGGTATATTAAATCGGTTCAACTCGAAAGCTACTATGTCTTTTAATGATGTACACTTGCAGATATATATCATGCATTTGTTATTAGCCTGTCTATCATTGAGACAAATGTCACTCAACAATTCGCTGTAGTGCAAATCAAAGTAATGAGTGGTGCTTGGCTTACCAATATGCATGTCCCTTTAGGTGTGGCCTTCCTGGGGTTGTTAGTGAGTACAGCCTGTAGCTGGCTTAGCTGATCTAGCAGAACCCTGGAGTGAATAAATAATACATTCATGTTACTCTTTTTACAATAGATTCTATGTATTGGATTTTTATATCAGAAATGATTCCGTATACTGTTGGAAGCCACACCACCAGGCCTGACCTTCTGTGCAAAAGCCCTCATTTGGTTCTTCAATACCAGGAAATTGCTTTGTGACTATACTTTACTGTTTTCGTCATAACTGTCAAAACATGTCAAGGTATTGACAATGCTATCTTCAACATGTCTGGTTTAGAAGAACCAAATAATAACCAAATAATTGACAATATCAAGGCGGCCACATTGGATGTTGGTACATTGTGGAGGGCTGAACTCGTTTTCATATGGATACGATATCATTTATAGTAGCAAGATTTTGGCCCTAATATGTCCAAAGACATAAACCATGTTATTTTCCAATACTTCTTTAACTGATGACAGTAGTTAAGCCGAGCGATTTGAATTTCAGAATTAGTTTTACAGCCCCTAAATCTTGTTCTTGTTTTCATTTCAATGTCCCACCCTCCAACGCTTTACCAATCAGAAAGTCTGTGATCCGGGTTGCCAAAACTCACTGCGTCGAGCTAATCTCACTGGTAAAGTATCATGTGTCCCCAGAACTAAAAAAGGTCTCCTTATGATTATAATGTCGAAAAACAAGGAATAAAAGGTGGATTTCTATCGGGCCTTTTGTGAAAAAGGTGTTGGTTAGAAATTTGTTGTTGACAAAACTCTTGTCTATTAAGATATTATGGTCCGAGCTGGATAGGTCTGCATATCTGGCAACCTGAGTCTGGGAGAGTGGGAGAGGTTACAGTACCACTTTTGGCCAGGTTTTTACATACTGCTCCTTTAAATTGGAACAAAATATTTCAATGTAAGCTACTTCAGTTGAAAATGAGAAAAAATAGATGTTTTTGATGAATAATTATAAAGTATAACCAATAAGTCATTGTAGCACTCATGATTCATGTATTAAAAAAAGTGGAGACTGAAATTTGTGGATGAGAAAAGGTCTTAGAGCCACATGGAAACGTGAATTGGGCTGCGTGCAGCCCCCAGGCCAGGTCTATATAGTGAGTAATGTGTGATTGTAGCTTTCACAGAACGGTTCAAAAAGGTGCATTACAATTGTAGAGGGCATTTTTCCTCTCACCCAGAGATGGAAACAGGGTCGCTATTCAGGTGTCAAACCAATTGTACATGTTTTCAGTGTTTTAAGGAAACCGGAGCACACAGAGACAAAAATAACAGACTGTGCCCTAACCACTGTGCCATGTGCCGCCCAGTCCATTATTTGTAAAATACCCCAATAACTGACATTGATCAGAATCAGATTGTAAACTCACTTGTTTGTTTCTTCTAATTGTCGAATCCTTTTCTGGAGCTCGAGGTTGTGAGCATTGCTTGCAGACATCCTATGAAGATGATTGAGTAAATACATTTGGGTATATAAATAACATGAAAAAGAATGCAATCAATACTTTGGTCTGGGGTATAGTACATGTGGTCAATAGTTACACACTATATTCACATTGTTTTCAGAGTGATCTTACCACACCAGCTAGTTTTGAAAATAAAGTCAGTTTTATCCACATACAGTAAAGGCCAAACTTAAGCCGCAGGTTTTAGTGTTGCAATGTAGCACTTAACCATCAGCTGATGGAACAACACAAAGCTGACAGGCGACTCTTTTAATGAATCACATCAACATCATTTATTGAAGAGGCGTTTTAACACACTGATGATGATGATCAAAGCCATTTTTTGATTTAAAAAAAAGCGTGTCCTTGTACTACTAAAACTCAGAAGTCAAAATGAAGTCCATAAACTCCATAAGCTATAGCCCTAATCAAAATAAACGGTATGTTTCCCTGCACTTCCCTGTGTCTGCTCTATGATGTTCGCATAAACAAACTGGAAGCAGGAATGTGTGCTACCAGGACACCAGCCGGTCCACCTCCCTCCTGTGAGCAGACTGATCATCGTCAGAAATGAATCCAATAAGGGTGGTGTCGTCCGCAAACACAGAGTTGTGACTGGAGGTGCAGTGAGTGGTGTGCAAGGAGAAGAGCATGGGAGATAGAACAGAGCCTTGTGGAGTGTCTGTGTTTGTAATCCTAGAATTCGAGACATTGTTCCCCAGACGCACTCACTGCTTCTGTCTGTCAGGAAGTATGTGATCCACCTACAGATGGAGTTGGGCACGTTGAGCTGGGAGAGCTTGGAGCAGGGATTGCTAGATAGATGTTGTAAGCGAGAGCTGAAGTCTACAAACAGGACCCTGGCATGGAGTTCCTGGGTTAATTGTCCAGTAATCTGGATCTTCTTGGGGACAGGAACACTGATGGAGTACTTGAAACAGGCTGGGACAAGGTACAACTCTTAGGAGATGTTGAGGAGGTGTCAGCTCACTGGCACAATATCAGAGTGGCAGGTGAGGTCAGGCTTTTGCACTAGAGAAAAAGCACACATTGGCCAGATTGCTATATAGGGTTCAAATAACTAGAAGATCCATCCATCCTCTTCCCCTTAATACATTTCTGGGTCAGGGGGGTGGCAGTCAGAGCTGCAGCCAGTACACTTAGCACCAGCCCCTCACTGATCCTCCTGCAGGTTAGGTGTCTTGCCCAAGGACACAACGACAGCAGACATCAGTGGGAGACGTGAAATAGGTCGAGGAAATAGGTAGAGTTTTGAACCCACCCCTAACTAGAAGAAGTAGTGCCTTATAGTCTGGCACTTACAATGGTAAAATAGTCCTCATTCAGTTGCACAAAACAGGAACATAACTCACGGTTCTGAATGTAAAACAGTATAAAATTATATCCAAACAATAGCATCAAAATAACGCAAGGCCGTTCTTGTTTTTTTACAAATACTATTTGTTTGATAGGTCTTTATTCATGTAAATACATTTCCTATTCAAAACATACAGTATTTCTTTCTATTCTCAATCATCAAAACCCTCTTCCCTCTGCCCACGCTTTCTGTCTTGCTCATTATTGGTAGTCGCTGTGAGTAATGTTATATTATGGACCCTTGACACCATGATAAGATTTTTTACTGATAGAGTCTGAGTGCAATTACTAACACATGCTGACGACGCAAACTGATTATCATATCCTCTGAAGTGACTAGAGAAATGGAAAGCAGAGATTCTGTGGCTATTTCATTTGTGGAAAACATAAAGGGACAGACATGACTTTTAAGTGGACTATTGTACATCTCTTCTTCGTTGTAGTATGATTTTTATTTTATTTTTAAAGCTGGGGTGTTACACAAACTCAGAAGAGTTTGGTTCTATCACTACTTTCCTCTTTTAGATCCTTGGATCAGCTTTTTCAGACAGATGAACGTGAAAAAGAGAGGACCACCCTCGACGACACTGGCTCACTGGGGCTGTTTCACAGGGCTCTGTACCAGTGGCATATTAATACAGTATTTCAAAACCTAATATATCAATATGTACTGTACATACTGAGAGCGGATTGCCTGAATTTGGGTGACTTTCTTATTTTCTTATTACATTATTATTGTAAATAAGGTCATAACATGATGTCATGTTTACTACAGCTAATACGGGTGAAAATTAGACATTTTTTATTTGTTATATTTAATAATATGGATAATTATGGCTCACATCTTGTAAAAACTCCAAATAAAACATCTCTGAAAATCAGAACATTTTTAAATAAACTATAAACCATAATCATCAAGAGTATAACAAACAAATAGCTGCAAGTATCACTGCCGGGGTCAATGCGCCAAACAAATAAATCATTTTAATGTATTAATTGTGTTCTTGGTCTCTTCAGATTGAACTATATTATATCTCGGTTTCACATTGTAAGTTGAATTACAGAAATAAATAAACTCCTGAACAATATTCTAACTTTCAGTGTTTTAAAATGACTCATAATTGCTAATAATGAATATGGTATTTGTGCCTCTGTAAAACAATGTATTTTTTTTTCTTTGTCAAGATTGAATCACTATTTCAAAAACAGTTACTGGTTCAAATCATCTGACAGTATGATTGGCACGTGCATGACATACAGTAGATAGCTGTAACGCACATTTGAAGTGCAGGAGTACAGGATAATGGCCCTAGCAGCTTCTACACCCGCAGTTTATCTCTTCATCTCAACTGTTCTTTTGTCGTAAACAAGCGTTCATGACCACTGCTGACCTCAACATGGACCAAAGGACAAATGGACACAGTGCAGGCCCAAAAATGATCTTCTATCTTTGTACTGCATGCTTGTGTGTCCTACAGAACCACATATCACTAATGTACAGATGAAGACATTTTGCTGCTACCATGTACAGATGTAAACATACTGCTGCTAACATGTACAGATGTAAACATACTGCTGCTAACATGTACAGATGTAAACATACTGCTGCTAACATGTACAGATAATAATGTAAGCGACTTTTTACTATTGCACTATTGGGCATGTGTGTGACCGATGTTTCGCTGGTTTTGGTTCTCTATATAAACGGGGACCTCACTTTTTGAGAAAGTCTCCAAATACAATTTCCCTCTTTCTGCTCTGTCATCCCTCTCCTGTTTGGTACGCTCATGACTAGCATACTGCTGCTAACATGTACATATGCTAACATATACAGTAACTACATATTGCTTGCACTAGAATACACAGTACTCTATACTTGACGCTTATTTTGCCAAATGTAAAAAATGTATACATTATTTAAGATATGGATTTTATACGTGTTTCTTTGATGTTAGAGTTTATGTTTTATTTAGTATAGTTATTGTTCTCTTATCTTGTGCTGCGTGCTCTTCATTCCCAACTTTTCTGTAACTTGTGATGCAACACTGAAATGTCCCCGCAGTGGGACGAATAAAGGAATAATCACTTACAGTATTTTGTACATTCCAAATAACCTTGCCTCTGGAGAACATCTTGCTGGAGATGTCCTCTGAGCTGAAGGTTGTCGGTAAATCCTGCTCTCAGCATAAACATTTGAGCGGTCAGATCGACTGACCCGATTGAACGGAGTGAAACAAGCTCCAATTAGTGAGTTCTGCTGTGTGTCCTTGAGCGGAACACTTTTCCCCCAGAGTCTGCGTACTCTGTGTGAATGGGGGTGGTGAAAAGGTAGAAAGGTGATTTAAAATTGTACTATTTATTTATTTATTTTAGATGACTAATTGATCTTTGGGTGGTTATATACTGTAAAAAATACTGATATATAATATATGACAACATCATAAAACCCCTTCCTAGCATTTTTAACATATGTGAGGTTTAAAAATGTAACTGTATAATCAATAACAACATTAGTTGACATTCAATATTTGATTAGTTGCATATAATTGATTAATTTTCTTGAAACCACTCCCCCTCCCCTCGCCTCTCCACCAAACCAGACATCCAGCATTTTCTTGAGTGGGTGGCAAACGTGAAATTGACATTTTCTGTTCAGCCATTTAAGGTTTTAGAAAATCCGATAACTCAGGTGCGTGCACTCGGGAGAAACAGGACGAGGGTGAAGGGGGTAAACGCATCCCATTGGTTCGTTGGGGATGAACGGATCCCATTGGTTGATTTTTATTGGTCTGCTCTAAAATATATATTTTTTTAAGTTGTAGAGACTATAGGCATCTGGTCAATTCTATTACTATTTAAAAACACATGAAAACTTAACTACTTTTAGGGTTTAGGGACGTTTTCCCACAATAAAAAAAAAATCACTGACTGCCTCTTTAATTACATGTGTTAAAATGTATGTCAAAATTATAAGTGCATTAACAGACCAGGAAGCAGGAATGTGTGCTACGTCATTGATGAAAATACATACATTGGCCGCATTGCTATACAGTATAGGCCGCAGAGTTCATATATATACAAAAGTAGCAGCCTATAGTCCGCCACCACCGGTACTTTCATGATTCAGTACAGATTACACTGTTAGTTATATCTGGGGTGTGTAGCTTCTAATGGATCTGTTCTTCCAGGAAATAAATAAATAAAAAATGCTCCTCTTGCGAAAGGTAGATCCTCTGCTCTATCTAACCTCATTTGCAAGATATAAATAGGTTTCTGGGGAAAAGCATGTCATTATGTGGCCTCTGTGCCGTGAAGCAAAGGTTTTGTCAGCGGAAACAGTCAATGGCTCTGTCTTTTTTTCAGAGCATATTCCTGCTTCCTTCATCACTTTCAGAATGGTTGATCATTTTAAATCAAACGTGGATTATTTATTTATCAGTGCTCAATGTTCTACTGCATGGCGTTCGTTCTTACCTTCCCTCCAGACTATCGACATACTCCCGCTTCTTTTTCCGACTTTCCTGAGCGGAGCGCTTGTTACGAATTTTCCGGCGGATCTTCTTCAAAACTCTCTCTTCAAGCTTGTCGTGGAGATGAAACAGCCGGGAAGACAGGAATCAGACGAAACAGAAGCAAGAAGGAATGGGGTATAAATTAGGGGAAACTAGGTTAGAACAGTGAGCATTTTTGGAGATAAAAATAGATGAGGCCTGGTGTGTGACAATGGTTTGAGTTTGCCCTACATACAATAGCAATATGTTTTCAGACCTTGGTTAGAGGCAATTTACTTGAAAGAGTCACTCCTTCTTTGGCCAGAAGTCGTTTCTCATCATCATCCAGTGCGAGCTCAGGAAGTGACGGCTGAGAGGGTCTCTGTCCCTGTACAAAACACTTTTCTTATTTCACTTATAACGATTGGACAGTTGATTTTTCCAATATGTCAGAATCAAAGCAAAAAGGTTTCTCATAGATGAGCAAAACAGCAGGATTTTCTTTCCTACGCACTTTCTCCCTGTAGTTGGTCAAGAGCAGATCCTTCACAGTGAGTGGCTGACTGGATTGCCGCAGAGACGGGTGATTTGCTTTGAGGTAGTATGTCAGTCCAAAAGTCTCCTCCAGATCTCTTCTGTCACCACCTATGTGGGTACAAACAATCAAAGCGATTCAGAGGGTTGCAAAAGTACTTGTAGTTGAAGGGTGGCATTTTTTTCATGTTTACAACCACAAACAAATTCCACTGAAAGGTTACATAATTTTTGTTTTAAAATAAAATATCAAATGGAAATGTGGACATCAGATATGCATTGGAGAAGAGGTCTGTATTGAACTATTACATTTGCTGCGTACAACCGTCCTAGATGATGAAGGCTCACGGCCTAAACCTTGCATGTCAAATACGGTGCGCATAAATGTTTTATTGTTCTATTAATAAAATTGTGGCGTATGCACAAGTATTCAAGTTGGAGTTCAATACATTGCCGTTGAAAACTGAATGACTGCTGAATGCTCACATTCCTGACCATAACCACCAAACTAGAAGCACCTGAGTGTGATTTCCTCCCAGTTTGTTTGTCATAAAAAAACACAAAGATAAAAATACAATGCAACCTTCAAATCCCAAACCTCTGAGTAAAAGGTCTTCAACAGCCAAATTTGACCTTACTATAGTTGTTTTTATGCTCGATAGAATGTCAACTTCCCTCTAGTGTCCTCTCATGATTCACATGGACGAATGCAACAGTTTGGAATGGACCATTAGCATCACATGTGATTAGCCTTTTCTTATATTCTCATTGAAAAGGCTTTTTGGTTTTGAAGTCAAATTTCCATCTCTTCTTCTTCTTTATTGCACTCGGCCAAGGCTATGTTTAAAGGGCTTTCATTAATATGTTAAAAAAAAACGTTTACAAATCAGAAAGGAATTTCTGTATTTTTTTCTTTTGTTCAATAGCGGCTCTAAAATGATCCAAACCAGGGCTGGACTGGCCATCGGGCGTACTGGGCAATGCCCGAAGGGCCGATGCCCATATTTGGGCCGGTTTGTCTGCTTCATACAAAAAAAATGTTTGTGAAAAGTGTAAATCCGTTGAGAACTGTTCGAGGGAGCGCGAGTGTCCGCGGGGCACCTGCTGTATGTACTAAAACGGGATTCCACCACCTCAGCGGCCACAGTGTTCCCGCATCCAGCGGCTCTGAGCTGGACGCAGGAACCGCTCACAACACAACACGGTGAGCGCGTAGCCGCAACGTGACCATGTACCCAAGACCATAAACGTGCACAGGACCATGCATGTCTTTGCGTAATTTGTGCACCCAATAAATACACCGCTGCAGGAAAAAGTCCGCGTCTCCCCTTTCCTCTCGAAGTGCGACTAAATTAAAGCTCGGGTACCTAAATTTTCCATTGCATTAAAAGTTAATGTTTGAGCCCAAAAGTAAAATGTTGTGAACAAATTAAACAGATTTAGAGCCAGCCAATGGCTGACATTATGCATTTCAGACTTTTTTGACCAATTCTCATGTCTGTGCCCACCTCCCTCACTCTGAGACATGTTTATTACTCTCTTGTAATGTAGACTATTGCACTTTATTTTTTTGTTGAAACTAAAGACATCCTGATCCTCTACAGTATGCTTCTACATACTGTATAAACCAGGGGTCAACCTTTAGTGCTCCTCCAGTGGCTCCTGGAGCCTTTTCAAAAATGTCTGAAAATGGAGTGGGAGGGCTATATTTTATTCCTAGTTTGAATGTGGTTTCTGTGGTAGGAAAAACATTCCTAACGTATTTCAATGCTGTAAAAATGTGTATAAGTAATATTAAATTTGAGCATTTCTGTCAACGTAGTGCGTCATATCCTGTGACGCAGCCCCGCGCCAGGCGGCCGCTGCTGTGAACAAACCGGCGTGTGCGCACGGATCCCAAAGATAAAAAGAGAAAGAGTCGATAATAAGGCTGGACTAAGGACAAGACTGAACATTTGCTTTTAGTCAATGAGGAAAGACTGCTCCATGTTTGCAATGTAATAGGAAGTTTTGTTGCAACACAAGGAACAATGAAGCACTAAATACCGTTCACAGGGATTACGTGAAGGATTCTTTCATACAAAATCCGGAGCACCTTTTTCAGACTTCAAAAACCTCCGCAAAGACTGTGAAAGAAAAGGCCATTAAGGACATTCAGCTTCAGCAAACTTCAGCCTGTGACGTGATCGATATGAACAGACAGTGCAGGTGTGTGACCTTTGAGCCAAAAAGCAGATTTATTTATTGTATTTCTACAGTTGCATGAAGGCAAAAAAAATGGAAGTCAAAGTTAAAGCAGAGTCATCACGTGGTGCGTCATTCTCTCCAGGACACGCTGCAGTGAAAACACACATTTGATAATCATGAATGCTTATTATGTATTTGTAGCCTTTACTTGGTCATTTAGATATTAGGCTAATGTAGCTAATGTAGGTACATTGTCTAACCTTCATATAAGCTTTATACAAGGCTGTTATTTTTTTGCCGCTCCAGACAGATGTTTTTAGTTTTTTTGTCAAATATGGCTCTTTGAACCTTTTGAGTTGCCGATCCCTGGTATAAACAAACTGTAAAAAAGTGACAAAAACATGCCTGGGCCGGTAAGAAGGAAAAAATGCCCGGGCCGTTTTTTTGTCCCAGTCCAGCCCTGATCCAAACTAAATCTTAATTCAACGCTTGATGACTAAACATGATGGGTTTTTTACCTTTGAAGATATTGGAATGGTATACATATTTGCACTGTAGGGACCTTGTACAGTTGCTGGCCTTTTTATATGATTCTTTTTATATGATACTAGATACTGGGCGACAGTAGCTTATTTTTGCATAGTGCACTACCTCTCACCTTTTTATTTTATTTTACATCATTCCACACCCGGTTATTTACAACAGACGTTGCATGCTACCACCCTGGACTCTCTGGCACGTAATAAACATCCTAATACATTTTAGATTTTTGTAATGTAGTTAGAACCAAGTGTGTAAATAAAACCGGGAGGGAACAGGTGCTTGGTGATTCCTCTGATAAGTAAGAACTGTGGGAATGATTATATAATATAATGATAGTACTTATGAATCTTTTCCTTCAAACTGTTCATCACTTTGGTTTTAGCCCTTCTTTCACCAACCAAGTGAACGTACTGTTTCTGTGCGTGCTTAACAGTGTTACCTAGATCCACTGCCACCTCAGAAGACCTCTCCATCTTGACTCTGACTGGAGAAGGACAGATCTCCACCTGGGACGGCCACAGTTCTGCACATCCTGGCACAGGCCTGAAGCACGCCTGGCTCTCGGTGGGGTAGGCCACATGTTCCTCGCTGCTGCCGCTGGAGGAAGTGCAGGAGGACCACAGGGAGGAGGCAGGAGACGAGCTACCCAGCAGGCTTTCCAGGAAGTCATCAGCACTGCTCTCCCCAGGGCTGGGACTCTGAGAGGGGGTCCATGTGCACACACAACTCCAATTACTTAATCAAATCATTATAAAGTCCCCACATGCCTCGGCTACACTTCACTGAATGACCTGCGACATGATTAATCTATTTCAATCCAATTTTAATCAAATTTTCATCCAAATATTAATCCTCACAACCTGACTTCTGCAGTAATTAGAATTAGAAACACTCACATCTTGAATGTTCAGTGCACATATCGGGTTGCTGTGGTAACTGTTGATCTGTTCATCTGTGTTTCGAAGAAGTAGGTCGATGACGTCCATCCCAATTCGAACCTGGAAGAAAGATCACTTCAATAATCATTTCTCCGTTTGAATAAGAGAAGATTCGCCTTTACTGTTTTCCCATAGGAGAACTAAGTAATGTTTATTAATATAACGCATTTTACAGACCAAGTTCACCCAAAGCGCTTTACAATACTCAGAGTTCAGATATTGTTCCAATCATTCCACACACGGTGAGGACGGTAGTTACAGAACACACTGGTGCAACAAAGCCCCAATCAACCCCATCCATTCACTTTCTCATTTACATTCATACTTATTGTGCAGGTTTTCAGTGGTAGGGGAAACCGGAGCACCTGGAGGAAACCTACGCAGGCCTTCATCGTATGCATCCTCATCTGGGGACAGGGGCTCACATGCTTACACCACAGTAGCCATTCAACTTTAAGCATTAAACAGGCCAAAATAGACACAGGCAAGAGCACCATAAGAAACCTCTAGGACCATAGAAAAAGTTGTTAACAAGACGCCAAAACAGGGAGAGCCCCACAATTTTGCTCTTCGGAAAGCCTAAAGTGCAGTCATCATTGCACTTACCCTAAGCCTAAAGTGCAGTCATCATTGCACTTTCCCTAAGCCTAAAGTGCAGTCATCATTGCACTTACCCTAAGCCTAAAGTGCAGTCATCATTGCACTTACCCTAAGCCTAAAGTGCAGTCATCATTGCACTTACCCTAAGCCTAAAGTGCAGTACTTTATTGCACTTAATCAAAGCCTATAGTGCAACCCAACCTCTTCAAGTGCCTAAAGCGCAGTCTTTTTTTGCACTTCCCCAAGCCCATGCTCCAGAGATGCTTCCAGTGTTGTCAGACCTATTTCCTACCCGCGCTCTCAGAGTTTATGAAATTAATCGCTAATGGTATGAATTAATATCTAAATCTACATCCATATATTCATTTGCACATCCAATTGCAGGGTATTAGAGCGTTGGTTCACAAATGGCCCCCAAACCCTTCTCAGGAATAGTTTGTCTAAAACATTCATCAGTAAATAACTCTACAATACTCAGCCACAGATACTTAGGATGAGGTATCAATAAACCTCCATTCTGGTGAATAAAAACTATACATAGATCCATCTTACCCTGTCCTTCTCTTTTTAAAATGTTTTGTTTTACAGAAATTATTAATGCTGCATCAAGGGGAAAAAATTTGATCATGATAGTCTTTTGTTCTTTATGTATTGTTATTATTATTTATTTTTTTCTTTTAGGTCTTGCTCTCTGGCTTCTTGATTGACACTGTAAAGGTAATGAGATTTGAAAAAGCAATCACTGCTTAATAATCTGAAGCACTCGCTATCTATCTCACTATCTCAAACAAAACATACTAAACTTTACAAATAGTCAGAACTTTAGGACGTGCATATTTTCTCCTCTATTTTATGATTAATTCAGAGCCTCACCTCTTCTGATGTCAGTGTCATTCCAAGACTGCTGAGAGTTTGTGAGACCAGATCAAAACCAGGATAAAAAAAGCACAATCCAAAATGTTACTCTTTAGTGTCAAGAGAAGAATGAGCAAGTAAGTCTCAGAGGACAAAGTTGAAATGCCATATCTCTCCCAGCTGATAACCGTCCAATGAGCTGTGAGATTGGCCACAGTAACCAATCATGAGGCGCTACATGTGATGAAAACATGTCAAGACGTGTGCCCTTTCAGACAGTTTCACATTCAATTCTCATCTATATTGTGACGCATAAATGGTCTCCACACCGGGGATGAGGTTCATATGTCAACTAACAACTCTCTATTGGATCATTTTAATGTACAATATTTTACTTTTGTCACTTATGTATCAGAAACTATTGTTTATATGACTGCATGTTAAGTCCTTTGTGTCTCTGGTCTGTGAACTTCACCTCTTTTTAGATTTGCCAATAATAAATGTGCTACTTTTAAAATGATAGAGCCAGACAAAAGAGAGAGAGAAGAAACGTGTGGGTGCTATGGATGGATGCTATCATAACTCTATCATCGTCATAAATCTTTTGTTTACCATCATAAATCTTTTAATTACATAACAACTCCCTGCTATTTGGAGGATATTTCTCCTTTTCAAAAACAAATCTATTTTGTTGTTGTAATATTAATCACTGGTATATTTTCATATTCCCCATGGAGCCATGGTGTGCAATTATCTGTCCAAATTATGCAATCAAAACTGGAGCGTGGTTCTGTGATTTCTCTCGCCATGTAGCACAAACAGCAGCACAAATACATTTCTGATATATCTTCAGACAAATAAAATGTCAGGAGTTGTCATACTGGAAAGTAGACATCCATCTTCCATGATAAAGACGACAAACACTGGCAGAGCATTTGTCGATGTCTGTTGTCTCAGCAGGTGGCTGTATTTCAACTTGTTCAGTTTTCTTGAAGGAGAAAAAATCAAAACCCTAATCGCCGCCACAGCGTCCACAGCCGCCACAGCGTTCACAGCAGCTTCCACTTCAAAGCATTGGGACACTTTAAACTTCATCAGAGGCAATTTTCCTCCAATCTCAAGAGAACTTTTCTGCTAACTTTATGGTCAATCTCCTATAGAAAACCCCAACACTCTAAGATTTCAAACCTATTCTCATCAAATAACTTCCCATTGTTGATCATTGAGATAAATGCAAACTTTGAGAGCAGAACAGGCATAATTCTTCTAAATTGACAAATGGCTGAAATGTTGTAATAATGTCCATTACTTTGAGAGCCACTCGCTGGAGTATTGTACATGCTGTAATGGTTTAATTACATGACAGCTCTTTGCTATCTTTATTGATGTTCCTTCTTAGGATCACAGTGCCAAAGTACATGCAGACATTATCTGTACAGGCCAAGCTCTTATCTCCCATTTTCATCCTTTCCATCATACTCTTACCTCAGTGGTAAGCTATAGATATGTTATTATTAGTTTTATGACTTGTCTCTCTTCCAGTCTCTTTAACACTCAAGTTTATTTACACCCTTTTTCATTTTAGACCCAAAATGGAACCCCTCGTGGATGCCTTAGTGGAACCCATGGTGAGTCCCTGTGCTGGAAAGCTCAGGCCCATAAACATTCGCTATAAACACAATTGTCACACGCTGTGGTCTCAACCCTTTGCTCAGCTGATGAGCAGCCTCATCTGCTGTTGCTAACCAATTCTTTATTTTTTCTCCTCAGGTATGCATAGAAAAACATGTTCACTATTGTGCAGATAATTGAGCCTCGGGAGACACGGCTCATTTATTTTTTTGCAGTGGAATCATGAGAAGATTGTTAACCAGTGTTTTGATAGAAGTTCATTTACGGCTGTATTTGATCTTAATTAGGAATATTTACTGGTGATAAAATGATTGTCTTTTAAAGGCGACCTGGCTTCATACATTAAGATCCACATAAACGGCCTCTTCACACAGAAACAGTGTGCATGGAAATACACATGAGCATCATAAACGCTGAGTGACAGTTCCATTGTCTTTCAAGAAACACTGGAAGGAACCAGTTCACTCCGTTTGCTTTCCAAATAGAGTGATACATACGATTTATGGAATACAGATGGAGTTCAAGTTAAAGGGTCTCTGAAATCCCCTGTAAACCCAACTTTTGAGGGAGCTGTAGGTTCTATGACAGCTGAAGAGTAGCCGTTTTTATTTACACTGAGGTCTATGAGGACAGATTATTTTCAGACTTACTTGTTATAATGAACATCTGTTTTTGTATAAAACATTATCATATATGTTTTTTTGAATTAGACAATATTGCGTTTTAATGCACAGGAAAAGAAAAGGAGATGACTCTGCACAGCTTTTAGCTCCCAAGAGTTTTTAATGTTATCACCACAAGATGTGACGTTTCGGGTCACTACCCTTCATCAGACATGCTGTGCAGAGTCATCTCCTTTTCTTTTCATGTTTTCTATTATCGACTTTTTTTGCACGCTGCTCAGTATTGGATGTGCGCATCAACCCCACTTTCTCTTTTAATGCACAGGCACACACAGTTTCAACACAAAACACTTGTGGAATAACCTACGGCTCTGATGTTGGAGTCATAAACACCTCCAATAGAGGTGTGTAGAGATGTTTTTATTAATTATTTTTGTTTAGGACAGTACATGTTAATGAACACATCTCTCCGGATTGTAGCCATGGGCTCATTTCCACCCGTTGTTTTGATATTGGAGACAAGTAATTTGATCCCGTTTAATAACTCAGTTGTTTACCGCTATGTTTGAAAAGAAATATATACATATAGCTAAATAAAGTTTGGAAATTCACTGGATTGTGAAGACTACATTATTTTTAGTCTCCCAAAATGTATTTTCCAGTTTCAGATTTGCTATCTGTTCAAAGATGGAAGGAGGAAGGCTTGTGTATTATTAATAAGCAGCGCAAAGACTGACCTATTTCAACATGTTAATGAGCAAAGAGGTTGCTGAAGGTTCTCTTCAGAGGATACCTGAAGAAACTGAACATTCAGTTGAAAAGAGGGAATCTTATTGAGGCTCCACACACAAAACTGATCTTTACAATCTTATGACACTGTAAAACAGATTGGTTGTCACTTGTCACCAACCTGTGGTTTGTACTTAGGTGTCCTGCCAGTCTTTTGGTTATAACAATCAATTTATAAATGTGTTATCAACCAAACTATACTGGTCCACAGCCACTAGTCCGAGCGAGTGCACACATACGTTTTTGTTACCTGGTGGGTCCCTTTGACAGGGCCGTTCAGAATGGGACCCATAGACATAATCTTTTTTTACTGGGACTACTTTAAGTAATACAAAACAGTCAATAGAAACCAAACAACTATTTTAAAGGAATTTTATTTTAGATTTTTTTTTTGAATTGCAGTGATTCTATTTTTGACATAGAATTTAATGCCACTCCATGTCCGATGTCTAAGGTCATCTGGTGAGGCATTAATGCAGGCCAGGCAGTGAGACTTCCCAGGGACCTTTCCAGTCTGTATGAAAGGTGTCATGGTCTTCTCCACAGCCT